AGTTGAGATTATCTGAAGTGAAGTGGGGTTTACTACGGGTCAGAGTCTTTATTTCTGTGCCCTCTTCAGGACTTCTTAATAGTGAAAGAGAGAACAGAATGTTTTGTAAAGAATTACTTTGGAATAATCTGTATCAAACCATCCTATCTTTCAGAATTTCTTCTTTCTTCGTACAATTCATTGTTTTGCAAGCTAGTTGTTCTCGGAAAAACAGCAAAAATAGAAGGGCAAGGCCTCAGAAAGCTGCTAGATACAAATGAAAGTGATAGGAAGAAGAATTGAATAAAATTTGGAGATTTGGAAATCTGAAAATTAGCTTTGAAAGGGCAAACGTTTCTTGGATGTCTGCTTGCCATCCTCCTGCCTCGTGCTGGATTCCCGAACGTGGTGGGAGAAGAAAGTCAAAAATATGTCCAGGTTTCTTCTCATTTTCGTATCGTATGTAGCAGTTCTTGGAAACTTCAAAACTGACAGTGGAACTCATTAGCTGTTTAAAAGACGATAGATGATAGGTGATTTATGATAAGTGCTAAACAAAAAATGTAAAATGATCTTGTTGGTAACGTAAATGATCTTGTTGGCAACTTCGTACCATGGTTGCGATAGGGGGACTGATGGATCTTACCCCCTTCACTTTGAGGCCAAACTCCCGATGACCCCCTTCACCTGGGCTTAGACTGGTTTTGTACTCTGAGAATATGATAAAAATCGTTATTAAAAGGTTTTGCAGGCTAAGTACCTCGAACAACTAGTACACTTATAAATTTACGAAAGAAACGGTGTTTATGTTTATTTATATTATTTATTTATCCTCGTAGCATTCATTTGGAGAGGAGAAACCGAGGACAAAAAAGCACTTGGTTTTTGAAGTACATAAAGTCCTTCATACCTCGCGGCACAGAAGACCTAGAAAAAAGTCGACGGTCTACGTCGATTCTCCATGATCTCAGCTTTCGATGGTTTAAAACGTGTTAGGGCTTCTTTGCTTCCCGGCTCTAAAAAGCACTTGCTCAGGTGAACCATAAAAGCCAGCACATTGTATAGGTCGTCCCGAAAGTTCTTGCGCACGATTTTCAAAAATTCATAACTTCTGATTTTTCCCACCGATTTGACTGCTTTCACATTTGTGTGAAAGTGTAAGTCATGCGCTTTATAATGACATCTCAGCTGCTTAGTAATGGTCATCTGTTGCATAGATAGGAGCGATAGAAGAGAAATGGTCAAAATTTGAATATTCTGTGTAGGGTCATAAAAAATCGGAGACTTGCAACAAAAATCGGAGCAGTTAGTATTATAGGTTCTTTCACCAGCTCTCTCCAACAGTGCAAAGTTTGCGCCGAATGAGCGTTTCTATGGAATGTTATGATTTTCCTGAAAAATGCCAAAATAAACCAAATTCGCCCTTTCGTATTGCTTGCTCGAAAATCATAACTTTTCATAGAGACCCTTGATCAGCGCAAACTTTGCACTGTTAGAAAGAGCTGGTGAAAGGACGTACAATACTGACTGCTCCGACTATTGTTGCAAGTAGTCTCCGATTTTTCATGACCCTACGCAGAATATTCAAATTTTGACCATTTCTCTTCTATCGCTCCTATCTATGCAACAGATGACCATTGTTAAGCAGATAAGATGTCATTATTGAAAACATGACTTACTATTTCATACGAAAATAGAAGCAGTCAAATCGGTTGGAAAAATCAGAAGTTATGAATTTTTGAAAATCGTGCGCAAAAACTTTTGAGACGACCTAATAAGAGCGAGGTGGAGCAAGTTAATAGTAAAAAATGTGCTGTGGATTGACATCGTTATCAGTACTAACGGGAACGTGAGCGCGTCTATTCAAGCGTGCTTATCGTTGTTATATGTTTATGTTTTTTTTGGGAAAAAATGCGCTTTTAATTGACAGTTATGCCATCATTATTAGCACACACTCAAAAAACTATGGGAGATTGGTGAATTTCCACACCTTCGCCCAAAAACCGCCCATTTCTGGAATCTATACTCTGTAAACCTAGTGCTGAAGAAGGTCACTTTCGTGAAAACGCTCTAGACTCACCTTACCTAATTTGTAGAGAACGGTTGGTTTCAATGAATCAAAACTCTAAGACATTCAGAAGAATAACATGTTATTAAAATAACCCTCAATCTTTTGGAAAGGTTGGCAGTTTGAAGAGGAAACGGCAGGCAGAATACTTTACAAAATCGCAGATGACTCGCATGTGTTCCAGTTCAACAGCAAGGCAGAATGGGAATCTTACGCCGACGAAAATGTTGTCGACATTGATACAGAGTTGACAATTGAGCGAAACTGTCTGATTTCCTACATAAGGAATCCAAGCAGATTTGGTTTCAATGAGGAAATGTCCAGGAAGTCCATTGCTGATCTTCAGGTTGCTGAAGATTTCAAGGCTGCTAAATTCACAAACATGGATATGAACAAAAGGAAGGTGTTAGCACAAAGCATAGCTACTGCTTATAGATCCCGACTGGAGTGCGAACCCAACTCTGTGCTTTATGCTTTTGGAAGTTATTCGCTTTGTGACATTATGACCTATGATATCGAAAAAAAACCAACGCGCAGCATAGTATCTACTTTTTTCGGCTATTCCGCAGATGTTGTTAAAGAAGAAGTTGAGCAGCTTTCTCATCAGCCAACAGGACGTATGCCAAAGGAGGTGAAGCCAGAGTTCGACAAGGCCCAAAAAAGTATGCAATATTCCCTTCCCGTGTTGCGAAAGCATATGCGATCTCGCTGTTTCCCCATTACTTACCGCAAAAATCTGATGGACTTACTAGCAAAGCTAGTTACCATTCCGACTAGCACGGCAGAGGTGGAGAGAGGATTTTCTATCTACTCTGTTATCAGAACACAACGCAGAAGTCGCACAACGGTGGAGCATCTAAGCAATTACTTAAGGTTTGTCAACCTCCTACTAAACATATTGTTATCTAAAAACTTCGTTCGAAGGATTGCTATAAGTGGTCCAGGATGTCACCGTATGACTTCTTGAAATATCCTAAAAGATGGTATGAAGAAACTGGTCACCTACCTGCTGACTTCCTGGTGCTACCAGAGGGCCAGAAAAAACACAAAAGCGCTTAGAAGAAGTAGAAGAACTTTTCAAATCCATTTTCGACTTAGAACGTTTTTTCACGCAATTCTACTTCTACTCCGATGACCTTTTGGAGGAAGAAGAAGATTTTTTAGGCAGCGAACTTGCTGTCTCTGACGTTAGCGATAGTGATATTGCTGATAATGATGTGCAGGAATTGTAAGTTGTTCCCAACTTGTACATCTTTTGGGACAAACCTTATTGCTTTCGTTTTTTGTTGATGCAATGAAACAGGAGCACAGATCTTCATAAAGTCAATTTTTTTAAAAAATTTTAATTTCTTTTAAAATTTTTGAATTTTTTTTCAATTTGTGCCTAAATAAGGTACAAATTAAAGCTCTTCATACCACGCTTTTTTACCTTTTCTCTCTTCTTCCCCGCCCCCTAGACTCACATACCCCCTTTACCCTGGAAGGTCGGGAACAGCCGAGACCCCCTCACCTGGGGAGAGCCCGGCTCCTCCTATCGCACCTATGCTTCGTACCCATATAAAATATTAGATAAGCAAGTGATGGTAATAATTCATCCCAATCTGAGTGGATTCTCATGCAACTATCAAGAGATCTCGACAAATGCGCAGCAATAAGAGACACAACATTCATTACTCAAAATTATAAACTGTGATAAAGTATCAATTCATGGTGCAGCAAATTATCGATCAATTCCATTATAAATAAAGTCTACTGCATGACGAAGGCGCAATAGCAGTATTAGTTCAGCGGGCGCGAACGCGGCGCGCGCATATCTTCACCGTTGTAAATCCTGCGCCTCTTGTGCTCTGCGGCTAATAAAGCCGCGTTCGCGTATACAAAGACATTGCGCCTTCGTCATGCAGCAGTCTATGCATCCACCGATTTCTTCGACTTCCGTTAGAAGACTGACTTAGTCTGGCTTTTTGAAAAACGATGCATATATTGTATTTGGAATAAAGCTTAATGGTCAGAATATGCTTCCATGCCGCGAAGCCATTCCGTAAGGAATTTCGACCTTCTTTCTGTGAAAAATTTGTATGCTATGCAGTTATCATGTCATGATGTCGACAATAGGGTGTTTTGCAATCACATAATGTTTCCTGCCAACATCACTCATGTTATTTTATTACCGGCACCTTTGACATTCTTATGTACAAGTCTTACCATATCCGGTGGTATGTTAATCACGCATATTAGCAAGCCCATATCTTCTCAGAAAAAGTGTCGCGGCTCCGCGATGCAAGAGCTCCTAGGAGTAATAGGCTGGGATCACCGGTTGCTACCGCGCTCTCTATGAAGACAGTACTTTCCCTTCCGGACCACTATTCGCCTTGGCACGTTGCCAGCCAAAAGGCTGCATATAGCGACGGCGCTTCATCTCAGTGTCGCCTTCTTTCGTTTTTGATCAATAACGTTGTCTTTTCTCATGTTTTATTTATGCTTATGCTGTACTTGGCAGTTTAGCTCCCGCCTTTGACGCCTTTTGAAACCTTGGGAGCGGAAAGGCCTGTCATTCGGAGAAGCGTGGCGGATCTGTATGGATGAAGCTTCGGGAGCATATTCATGGTTCGCGCACAATCGGTAGCACGTATGGGACACTCTATCCCGTGTTGAGAATTTTCTTTTTTTTGTAGTTTAGTTTTAGTAGTTTTAGTATTACTACTGGGACTAATTTTAGTATTCTCTTGTTATCTGAAATTATAACGAAAACCGTTAGAAAATTTATTTGTGTCTTTGTCTCGCGCTATGGCGTAGTTGTAAGCTAGGTAGCGTCGTATGTATTCAGCGCGAGTGCACTAGGTCCCGGGTTGAATCTAGGTGCTTAGGGTCCACCGAGATGTCACAGTAATGCTTTGCAGCTGAAAGAGCATCAATAACTGAATTAGATAGATTCGCTTTAAAGCTACACTCGCTGAGACCTTCGAAACGATTCATTTTCCAAAAAGTCATTATAAATTTGAGATAATTGAAAATTGTGATCAAACGATCAAATCTCCCGCAGTGATCTCCTCTTCTATTTTACAATCGTTCTCACCGCGAACCATGCGGAAGTAACCTAAATGGAAGTATGATGAACAAGAATAGTACTGATGGTTTGACCAACCTTGCTCTCCAAAAGTGACTCCCCAAGAGTTTGCGAGAATCCAATAGTCTGTCCCATTTTCTTTACCCCAACCTAGGATTTTTACAGCGTGAGAGCCAGTTTGTTTGCCAGCAGTATGCTGAAAGTATTTGCTTAGCAAGTGTGACAATTGTTATTTTCACCTTATAAATTCCTCCTTTGTATTGCCTGAAATCTTCGTAAACGTCGAATGCAGCCCCGACAGGTCCGTCCTTCATTATTGCTTGTCTTATCATTTTTTCATTGTTTTCAATGTAGTAAGCACTGCGTCCTAAGTATAGTACATGGTGTTGTAGACAGTCCAAAATATTCGCTAATGCAACAACGGAACTCACACTGACCATAATACTTGTCCTGTGGATACTCGAAGGGGTAACCGTACTGGCACCTATGCCGGCATTTTGGCGTTGGGTATCTGGTTGATGGACATTCTCCATAGTAAGGTTGGCCAGTTTTGTTGCCACATGGATGGAAGGAGTATGGAAGGCATACATTCTGCAGCCTTTTTTTTCGGAAATAGTTCTATTCCGAATCAAGTTTTACCTTTTCCCTATAGTGTCCGCCTGTGACTACACCGTATTCTTGCAAGAATTTCCAGGCTTTATACGGCCACCCACCTTCGCATCTGAAAACGTAACCCCTTCCAAAGACCCAGTAGGGATGAAGTAAGGAAAAAATTCTTGAATAGCTATGAACTCACCCCTCACCGCACGGCTCTCCACAACAGGCCAGAATATCGGTATCAGAAAGATGAACCTATAAGTACGCAGAGATTAACTGGATCGAATGCATCCGATAATTGAACAAAAAAGCACATTTTTTCTTCCATTAGATTGTACGCAGAGTCGGTCACTCATTACTTCTGCAGCAGCCACAGCCCAGCATGATCCTAAACTAGTGAAAAGATAGCACTAATCTTAGAAAATAAAAAGCGGATCCTAGTAAGAAAACGTGGAAGCTCACCACATTTTGACTGGTCACGGATGTAGGTTATAGATTTGCACCTTGGCCATCGCTCACGGGCATCAAATCTGAATTGAAAAACTAATTGCGTAAGTGAAATATCAAAGTACTTCAACATTTTACTGTGATATCTGTCAACTAGTTCAGAAAAAGTTCAGTATGAATTTAATTCGAAAATTAGATATGTCACTCTGCTTACTCAAACAGAAGCTTCAAGTCAGAGAGTATCTGTAGTGCAGGCTTGCTCTAAATTAAAGTTGGTCAAATGAGAAATTATGCTTGGTCTCAGACTTCAATCTACAAGTGACAAGCGAAGTTCACTTAGTCGAAGTGGCGATTCGGAAGAAGATCTATACCAATGAATAGAGCTCAAAAAGCTGATCTCAGATTACCTTCCATATCTGCGATGCATTGTTCTAAAAAAAAGGTTACGAGCTTTTCTAAAGCCAAATTTTAGTGCATTTGAGTCGGAAAATCACGATAATCTCTACACAAAAGTGTGCAAGCTTAAGCAAACCACCTAGTAAAGATTGTAGGTCTAAGTCGAATTCTTCTGAACGCTTTTAAGTGTTTTTCGACCGTTGTTCATCCACAGGTCGTCATTTCATTCCTAGATCACACTTCCATTATGTGTGCAAAAAAGCCCCATAAGCTCCATCTAGAAAAACGCGTCGCGTTGGAAATTTTTTGAAAACTACTAATGGATGGAACGTGAAACGATGTTTCTAAATATATCTTCAATATCTGCGATGCTTTCTTCTAAATGGAACTTTGGCTTTTTTGTATATATAATGGAAGTTTGATCTAGGAAGGAAATGGCGACCTATGGATAAACAACATGGTCGGAAAACACTCAAAAATGTTCGGATGAACTCGAATAAGACCTACAATGACCAACGACCAATACCTTACTAAGCGGTTTGCTTAAGCTTGCACACTTTTGTGTAGCGATTATTGCGACTGCAATAATGCGACTCAAAATGCACGAAAACTTGGCTTTAGAAAAGCTCATAACTTTTTTTAGAACAACGCATCGCAAATGTAGAAGGTATATCTGAAATCAGCTTTTTAAGCTTTATCCACTGGTATAGATCTCCTTTCGAATCGCCACTTCGACTAAGTGAACTTTCCTTGTGAGTAAAATGTTATTGAATTATCGGAACCAAATATTATAAAAGATCCCATCATTGCTTGTAGATCTGAACCTTCTCATAACGCAGGAAAAACCGTAGTCTGCTCCTCGTCTTTGAGATGTTTAAAATGAGAAATTGTATAGAAAGCCAGCTAGATCTGACTAATATGGGTTTTTTGAGAGTCGTTTATTCTATATTTTCGCCATCGTTGAAACGAGCAAGAATGGAAAATTTCCGCGAAAGACACGAAGTTGCATACATCATCCAGTCAGGCCCTCAAGAAGAGTTTTTGGAAGGTCGCAAAGTTTCATAATTTTTCAAACGTTCATATTGACTTTGTGAAGATTTTTTGAAAGCGTGGCTGCGCCAGTCCTTCCGTTTGAATTATGAGGTTATAGTCCAAGAAACATCCCAGAGAAAATTTTGTAAGCGTGAAAAAGCTACGCCATTTCACTAGGGCATAAATTCTGTCGGTCTTTGCCCCTTAATCCCACGAAGGAGAAAACTTCTTGGCCACTGCACCGAGTTGAACTTTGAAAATTTCGAATACTCGAGGCTTTCGTATTCTGGCCATTGTTCACCGTCAACTTTCGATGAGGTCGTATATGCATGTAACATGCTTACCAGCTCAGTTTTCAAATCTAATCGTCATTGATTACAGTAGAGATAGAGAGGGCTATCGAATATTTACAAGTATAATATAACGGAACCATATGCATAGACTGAAGTAAAAAATCGTCATACACGGCAGACCTTTCCGGCAGTTCCTCATCGGACTCAAACTTCACTCTTTTCACGTTAGCAGGTATCTTTGTATATTTGCTGTCCATCAAGTGTTTCATTCCCTCTACACTTGCAGGAGTCTCTCCAACCTGAACCAGTTACATCGATTACCTAACTCGGAAGAAGGCAGACCTCGAATAGAGTCTGATGCGTTTTGAGATAATCTACCAGTTCTGTACCCGTGAGCTTTTCTGCTTCTTCTGGAAAAGCAAGGTCACTAATTCGTTTTTCATTCAATGTGAAGCAATCGTATAGCCAAGAAAGTCTTACCTAAACTTAGAGCCTTATTTTGCGCACCTAGTACGCACTGAATCAGCAAGAGATATAGCAGCATCTTAATGGCAGTTGGTGAAGTCGTCCCAGGAAGAGTCTTCGTAGAAGTCTGAGTCTGACGAGTCAAAAATGCTAATGGTAGCTTAAAATTTGTCAGTGTCAGATGTCTAATAAAAAATGGTTGGTGCTGTCATTAACGCTATACATTCTTTTGCTTCTTTCCGATAAAACACAGAATAAACATGCCTCTTGACTAAAAGAAAAAACTTTATGACTGATTCGATTGGCAAATGTTGCTCCCAGAAAAGAAGGAGAGGAAATAACAGTCTAGAAGGTCATGGAAGGTAGGCGAAAATCATTGATGCAGATGAAAAATCAAGTATAAAATTTGTCAGATATGCTCTACTAGCGACCCTACGTGTCGCTAGCAAGTGGGTCGGGGCAGATACAATATAAGGACTTAGTTGTGACTATAAATATTTCTAAATAACATATTCTTTTCCTGAGAACATTTTTGCGAAAAGCATTCTACAAAAGGAAAACTGCTCGAACAAGCGATAATCCCTACAAATCATTCAGCATTTCTCGAAATTCCTACTGCAACCGTGCATGGAGAATATTATTTTTCTCTCGTTTACCACCTCTTTCTGCAAATTTCCTCTCCTGACAGAGACATCCAGATGAAAAAGCCCCACTTTTCTACCCTCTCGAAGAGAATTTCTTCCAGTTCTTCTCAACAAATTCCATAAAAGATTGTTAAGTAAGTTAGCAGAACACCTACCGTTTTGGAAGTAGAAATACACCCATAACAATTATGTGTGCTAAAAAAACGCTTTTCTCTCAGAAACAATTCCGACAGCAACGAAATCAATCGCCTAAGAACTTTGTCAAACAATCCTTCAATTTTTTCGCCTAAGGAATATGAAGCTACTACAAAGGAGACCCGCCCCGAAAAGCACGACTACTGAGCCACCTAAAGATTGTCAATCATAAGAACTGCACAAACGCACAAATTTGTTTCCGTGTCCGATCACATTGCCCTATGTGCCGCTTACAAAACAATATAATTTATCTGAAAGACAGTTCATGCCCTACGTGCCGCTTGGAGACCGTTTAAAAATTATAAGAACCGCCCCAAACGTACAAAAATCTGTTTCCCGGCCCGATCAAATTGCCCTACGTGCCGCTTACAGACCGATAGTAACTATTCAAAAAGAAAGTTTATGCCCTGTGTGCCGCTTGAAGACCGTATAAATCAGATTGGACCGAAAGTTCCTTCGCAACATTTTCAAAAATTCATAACTTCTGCTTTTTTCGACCGAATTGCGTGTTTTCATTTTTTTTCAGCAAGTCATTGTCTTCATAGCGTTATCTTAGCGACATTCTATTGAGCATGCACTGCATAGATGTAGGCGGTAGAAAAAACTACTCAAATTTTGTATTTTCTGTGGAGGGTCATGAAAAATCTGAAACTTACAGTAAAAATCGGAGCAGTCAGCATTACATGTTCTTTCACCAGCTCTTTCTAACTGTGCAAAGTTTGTGCTGATTGAGCGTCTCTATGGAAAGTGATTTCCCTGAAAAAAAAAAACCAAATTCGCACTTTTGTATTGTTTGCTCGAAAATCATAACTTTTCATGGAGACGCTCAAGCCAAACTTTGCACAGTTAAAAAGGGCTGGTGAAAGAACCTATAATATGACTGCTCCGATTTTTACTGTAGGTTCCAGATTTTTTATGACCCTACACAGAAAATACAAAATTTGAGTAATTTCCCTGCCGCTTACATCTACGCAGTGTATGCTCAATAGAAAGCCGCTGAGATACCGCTATGAAGAAAATGACCTGCTCTTTCAGAAAAAAATGAAAACACGCATTCGGTTGAAAATAGCGGAATTTATGAATTTTTGAAAATGGTGCGAACGACTTTGGGTCCAACCTAATATAAGACCAACTGCGACTCCTACAAAAAGAAAACAACGAAATCAAGTGATAACTGACAGCGTATTCTCAAATTGCCGTACGTTCCACCTTAGGACTTTCATTTCTGAGAACTGCCCCAAACGCACAAAAATCTGTTTCCCTGCCCGATCGAATTGCCCTACGTGCCGCTTGCACACCGATAGTAACTATTCAAAAAGAAAGTTTATGCCCTATGTGCCGCTTGAAGACCGTATATATAAAAAAAACCTTACGACTCTACAGAAAGAGAACTTGCCATACATGCCACTTCTGGACTTTCAATTCTGAGAACCGTCCCAAACGTAAAAAATCTGTTTCCCTGCCCGATGGATAGTTTTAGTAACAAACAGATGTCTTTGTAACGGACGTTCAACTTCAGGCGAGGGTAGAACCAATACAGTTCCGGTTCAAAAAAGATTAAATATTCAATACATAGTAAGGTGTGCTAAAAAAGAAAATCGATTCAATGGCGCATATCTCGCAAATATCACAGATATAATATCTCACAGAAACTTGTTAACATTACTTTGCAGCTACTTCATTAATGACTTCAATTCTTGTTCTAATCATAATTTAAAAGTAAGTGAGCCCTATTCCGGAAAATTAGATCCACAAGCGATATAAATTTTTCCTCACTACCATTTGCCATGCCGTGGCGGTTGACGGTCAACAGGTGCGATTTTTATGTAGTCATCAACTCAAAAGCCCAATTCAATGTTATCCGAGTCCTCAAAAATACGAGCGAAGTGCTTTAGCTAGCTGTTTGAAGTTGCCATTTGCTGAGTTAAGATTTCGATGAAAAACTTAGTGAAATATCTACGAATTTTGTATCATTAGGTCGCTCCATAAGTGCACCGTTTTTATAAACTAACAGAATCAACAATTTTTAGTTAAAAAAGTCAATAATATATTGCCCGATGTAGCAAACGACCTTTTGCCATATTCCTGTCAGCTTCTCAATCTCAGCTTTTCAAAAGGCAGCGCGTCAGGTCCAAAGTAAGTCATCCAACCAGCGTAATTACTTACTGAATCGAGGCATGCACACTTCATAATTTGCAAGAGAGAGGAACAAATGATAATATGGTAGAGCGAAGTGTATGTAAGGTGCTGAACTACCTTTCAATCAAATTTTGCAGGACAGTTTTGACGACGTTTGCCATATGAGCTCATGTCTCGTCTTTAGATCGATGGATTCTATTAGGCTTTCTCTGCGTTAGGACCTGGTTTAAACGGTGCAATCGGGTTGTAGTATGGTCAGCCGTCTTCTTCTTGCTCAGCAATTTTCAGTACAAGAGGTCCTGCTCGTCCCCGAAAAGTCTTGTTCAGGGACATCATAGTCAGCTCTTGGTCTTTTGTGGCAATCCAATCCTTTCCTGTTTCTTATTAATTTGCGAATGCTACGTTCTATGACCTGCAGAACATCTGTGCAAACTTGCTCATTTTTACAAGAAAGAATGCGGAAATGTCGAAGTTGCTTTCTTTGCCTTTCGAGATTTCCATCTTAAAGAATCAAGAAATCCGAGTAGATTAGTTTTTCACTGGAAGTAGTAGATGAATTTTTAAAAGCATATGTCGTCGAGTCATTCGTAACTTAATATGCGTAGTACACACTTTACACGTTAACTGACGAACTGCGAAACTGGAACCTGCTCATTTCCAGTGATTTCTCCTTGTTTCCTAATTTCTTTTGTTGTAGTTGGTTATATGTTAGTCAGTAGAACACATTTCTACATTTTGTGAGGCTAGAAAATGTTTTACTGAGAAGTTACTAGTGTGGGTCCCGTCACTGATAGGGTTTAGTGTGCAATCTCACATATTACGTTACAAATGACTCGAGGTTACAGCTTTCTCTAATGATATGCGCATCGTGCCGCAAATCAACCGCTCCTCAGAGAAATGAGGACGAAAATGGAAACGCTACGAACTTATGGAACGACCAAATAGTTGCATTTTTAAGGGTTTCTGACCTTCAATGTTTTGAATTTCTTCCTGGTCAAAGACAGCCTATGCGGCTATCTAGCATGCCTCATTACAAATTCAACATCTAGAGGGTTGTACCACAAATTATAAACTATTTGATGTTTGCCTGGGGATGAAACCTCTTGAGGTATACCCCGCCGTACAAAATACTTGGCCCAACTTTCTTTCTAGCACTTCCACTTTCTTCTCAAAATTTGATTGTTATCTATAATCAATCGGTCTTCGGATACTGTTGTGGCAAAGCACATATAAAGCTCAGTTTGAAAGCAGCTTTATTGCATTTTTCACAACTCAATGATAATCAGACCAAGCGGATAAACGAAACTGAACAAGATCATAAACTCCAATAAAGTTTGGTGGTAGACTTGCGTTCTAAACTGTTGTGTTACGCTTTGACAAAAAAAAACGAAGAAATCTAAAACTTCCTGTAAACTGTTCCGCATCTCCGAACTAACTCATTCACACTCATTCCATCCACATTAACAATTTTATTATACTACTTTGTTATTAAATTATACTAGTCATCAACTGTGTTACAGCTTCAGTCTTTCATTTGTCCTGCGACAACATGCTCTTCTAAGCCGCATGCATTGCCACCTCGAACCATGCGAAAATAGCCTTAAGAAAAAGTTTGGGACAGAATTGCACTATTCTGAAAGAAAATTTATGATGTTCTTACCTTTTTCTCCCCATGTTTCTCCCCGAGAGTTGGCAAGAAGCCAAAAATCAGTTCCATCTTCGGATCCCCAGCCTATGATTTTGACGGACTGACTTCCTTCCAGTTCGCCACGCACATGCTCAAATTTTATTTTTGACGAAAGCCGTGAGCACTTCTTTGCTTACCCTATATATTCCACTTGTGTAGTTTTTGAAATCCGAGTACACAAGAAATGTAGCTTGAACAGGCCCATTCGCCATTATTTCCCTTCTAATTTCTTTTTCATCCTTATCAACAGTATATGCGGAGAGTCCTGAAGCATGATACTACGCCAAGAACTTTATGGCGCTTTTTATTCCCTTGCTATCAACAGGGCCAAAGACGGATATTGTACAATAGAGCGAAGCAAGCTCTACAAACTGGTACTCATGTTTTACCTATTCCGAGAATAGGTCGCGAAATTTTCAAAAGTTACTCACATGGGTTATAGAAATGTGCGGAGTGCCTGGTGTCTGTCACGCACATTTAGTCGAAAAAAATTAAGCCCCTCCTTCCTCCTCCGGCGGAAGTCCTTGGACCGCCTTTGCTTTTGTAAGTATAATTTTTACCTTTTAGGACGCTTTTCAAGAGATTCCAATTCTAGAGCAAAAGACCGTAAAAAAAGCCAAACTCGATATTGCTCAAAAAGTAGAGATTGAAAAGGCTGAAAAACCACTCACATACAAAGATTTGTAGCATGTTACTTACCTATGTCAGATCGGCCTAGCATTGCTTTAAGAAAACACGAAGATGTTCCTTTTCTCAATTTCTAGTCAAAGAAGGAATACAGCAGATTTGTATGTGATTGACTGATGTCGATTGTATGCATGTATGCAATCGGGAAATTTGTGTAAGGTTCTTAGGAATACATTTTTTATTTATTATAATTTCTAAGCATTCAACTAAACGCAGTGGCTAGGCAAGATAACCCCTGTCAGGTTTTGGTACTTCTGGGTAGTACAGCCCCTCCCGCCAAGTACATGTGGTCCCAACCCACCCTCCCGTTCCTGCGCCTAAGTCCTATAAAGTCCGTTACTGACGCCCACTCAATGGAAGTGATAGGCTGATGGACTTTTGAAGCGGGTTTTGAGGATTTAGCTTGCCGACATGCTGCCTTCAGATTTAGGAAATATGGCGCGGAAGCATGAAAGCCATCTCATAAAGCTTGCCTTGCGCTAATTTTGGGATCGAGGGGTTTCACTACCATAGCAAGTAAATATAAGCACCATTATTCTCCTAAAAACCTGATACACTGAGCATAAAACTTATTAATTTTATTGTATTTGGGGAAAACATTTGAAGTTGTAAACATGACACCCCTGCTTACCGTGATGTTTGTCCTTTAGGTAGTCAACCAAGTAGTTCTGTACACAGCTTTTGCGGCATTTTGGAGTTTCATACCCCTCTTCGGGACATTGTCCATAATCAATTTGCCCCACTTTACCGCATGGATGAAAAGGATACGGTCTGCATGTTTCCTGAATGCTTCTATACCGTGTGAATCGAACGAATATAGTTTAGATAGCTGCAATGTGTGCATCGAGATGGGTCTTCTCCCAACACGCATTGTGCTTGCTATTCTATCAAGTTTGCAAATATGTTTACTATTTCAAAATAACGTCCTCCTGTGACAGCTCCATGCTCGATAACGAAATTCCATGCTTCGATAGGATTTCCACCATTACATCTGAACATAACTGCTGCATGATTCTTGTATTAGATTCATTAAATGGCCGATGACTGACCCATCTCCACACTTTTCTCCACAACATGTGAAAATATCTGTATCGGAGATATGTACCTGTAAACGTAAGCAATTATTTATTTATTTATTTATAAACTACACTTGTCAGTGCACCGAAAAAAAAAGAAGAAACAAACAGTGAAGTCAAATGTTGCAACAGTACATGTTCTCGTGAAAGGAATAATCCAAGGCGCACTCTTGCTGGGGTGGTCAGGTCGTCCTCTATCTAAAGACGGTGGGGCGCCTACTACCGAAATCCTGGTCCCTATCCCGGACGCAAATATGCTAAAGAAAAACCAGGGCTCGGCTGACCGACTTAACCCTTAACGAACGAATTCGCGTGGGACCCTGGGCGAGCGAATAGGGGGGATCTCAAGGCAGAAGGACCACCAATCCTCAACTTCCGTGAACGGCTATTCCCCGTGGAGGAGTGGCTTAATATACAGCTGAAAAATTTCGGGAATGACTGGCATGAGAACACATTTGCAAGATTGCTTATGCAAACAAAAGTGCTCAAAACGCGAATCAACTGAATAAGAAATAAAAAAAACAACGAATATCACTAAGCAGATGGCGGGGTAAGCGCAGGAGGCTACTTCGTATCAACAGTCGTCGAAGAGAAACTGAGTTGACGCCATCTAAATATCTGGAATCTTCAAAGTTTTCAGAATATCGATTCGGGCTAATCTTCTTCGGAATAATTTTGCATTGCTGCTGGCTGTGATCTCACTTGGCAAAAGTCGTAGCCATCTCGATGTTCGAAAAACAAAAAAATTGAACGCTTTTGAAAACATTCTACTACCCAGCCTTCTATAACACAAATTGAGTCCACCCACTCGACTGCTACAAGGTCTGAAAACCCAATATTTACTGGGTCGCAGTCTTGTTTCTAGTCGAACTATGCGGAAGCAAAAAACCAAATTATTGAAAATTTTTCTGTACTTCAAACTTTTCAAATCCAGAGTGGATAACCTCGATCTGTAGGATGGTAAATTGCGAGGATAGTCCGAACTAGGATAACACCTGTAATAAACAATTCTTGTAAATATTTTCTGCACTTTTTCTAGAGATTGGATATTTTTTGACAAAAATGGGCTCCAAACAGGTGAAGCATACTCCAAATGTGGTAAAACATAAGTTTTATATAGTTTTACCAGCAATTTAGGGTCGTTACAGTGGATACTGCGTAAAAGGACAAAAAGGCTTGATAGCGCTTTTTTGCAAATCGAATCATAATGCCGCGAGAAACTTAATCCATTGTCGATTAAAACACCAAGATCTTTGGTAGACTCACAGGTCTCGAGCGTGATACCATCACACACGTAAGATGGCGACTGCGAGTTACCAAGGTGCATTACTTTTGATTTCAGTGCATTGATAGGAAGAGACCATTCTTTGGACCAAGAAACCATTTTTTGGATTGTTAATGAAATTGCCGCAAACGCCTCATCCTGTCTGCCGTTTTCATAACAGAAGTATATTTTGATGTCGTCGGCAAACATTTGTACCCTATTTTCAGGTGTGTAAGCCGCACCCTTTTTGCTCTAAACGCGAGCAAAACCAGGCGTGCCGCCGCGCATATGTCTCGCGAAGCGGCCGCCTTATCGCGTACTGCTCTCACTTAACGCGCTCCATAATGACAGTCAGTCTTTTGGCGCGTTCGCCTTTAGAGCGAAAAAGGTGCGGCTTATACACCTGAAAATAGGGTACTCTGATATCGGGATGTGTCGTCAAAAAGTTAGGTAGTTCGGCAGTATAAGCAAGAAAAAGGAGTGGTGACAGTATTCCACCTTGAGGCACACCACTACTGCAACGGTAACGTTTTGAAAAACAGCTTAAGACGCGTACAGTCATACCTCTGTCATGCAAGTAGGAAGATATCCAAGACAGTAATTGACCTCGGATACCGTAACTTTCAAGCTTTAACAACAGCTTGCGGTGATCTACCTTATCGAAAGCTTTCCAGAGGTCAAAAAACACGATATCGATTGATTTATTAGAGTTGAGTGCTACTATCCAATCAAAGACTGAATCACATAACAAAGCTGTGGTTGAACCGCCAGGTACAAAACCGTTCTGCTCGATTGGGATAATTTTGTTCTTCTCAAACCACTCAATAAGCTTTTCTTTAATCAACTTTTCAAGAACCTTGCCGGCAGGTGCAGTTATGCTTATCGGTCAGAAATTGGAAACTACACTAACTCGTTCTTGCTTAGGAATAGCCGTTACTATAGCTTCTTTCCATAATTCTGGTACTCTACCTTGTATCAAAGAAGCACTGAAAATAATCGAAAGAGGAAGGCTGAGAGCGCAAGCGCATTTTCTGTACACAATTTGAGGAATTCCATCGTAAGGCACACTAGCCGTCGGCTTCAATCTACTCAAAACACAATAGACTTTTTGAGGATCTATTAACAAATCCGTACAAACAGAAGATACGCGTGGAAGGATGTGGGAGGCAGTAGAAAGATTTTCAGCGAAATCAGTCGCAAAAAAAGTAGCAAAATATTCTCCCAAGACGTCAGCCTTTGCTCTATCACTAACTATTAGAGTTCCGCGCTCATCAAGTAAATTTGCAATTTTTTGTTGACCTTTATTTTGAGTTTTGAGATATCTATAGAGCTCATTAATGTTGTGCCTGAAAAGGCGCCGCTCACGATTGGCCAGAAATTTTCTAATATGGTGACTGATATCTCTACACACTTTCCTGTAAAGTGGGTTACTTAGAGGATCAGCTGACTGTGAAAAGAGCCTAGATTTTTGATGCAATAGATTTTCAATGTGGGCAGGATATTTCATAGAGTGAGAACGATCAAAACGGAAAGGCACATAATCAGCGAAAATAGAATATAGTTCTCTGCAAAAACGATAGTAGAGGCTATCAACTGTTACATCCCTCAAAATATGCAACCAATCGATGTTCAGGAGAGCTCTATTGATCTCAACAAAAGAAGCCTTGACAAAATTGGGGTAGGGAATGAAAATGCTTTTGTTGGAGTCGAATTCAGTCTCAAAGCTAATGATACTATGATCAGAAGCTCCAAAAGGAGGCATGACTTTGATATTTTGAATTTCAACGCCAGATGAAAAGATCAGATCAATGGCTGTCCTCCCTCTTGTGGGAAAGTTGACATGTTGTGAAAGTCCACTATCGAGAAGAAAAGATTAAAGGTGAGACTCGCGTGAAACGGAAGGTGAAAGAACATCAATGTTAGAAAGAACATCAATGTTAAAATCTCCCAGAACAATAGTGCTGAAAGGAGCAGAAGAGAAGTCATATATGACGTTTGCCAATTCAGAGTCATCATGTGAAGTGGAGGATGGCGGACGGTAAACTACTACTAGCCTCATAGGCGAGCACGAAGTAAGCGACCAGATGTTACAGCAAAGCACATCGGATACCAAATCACAAGTGAGGCGGATTGGTTCAACCGCATATTCTTCCTTAGCAATTACACAGACCCCACCACCTCTGCAGTGAGCTCTGTCCAAACGAAACAGGGAATAGGGCAAATCGGAAATGATCTCGGAATCGATAATTTTTGAGTGCAGCCAGGTCTCGGTGATGCACAAAAAGTCGGGACGATAAAAAGACAAAAAGACCTGGAGAAGGTTAATTTTGTTTACCAAACTACGACTATTAAAAAGAAAACATCTGAGAAATTCACGTTCGGGAGGACAGGCAGGCAAACCGGGCGGGCTTAGAGGTTTCCCGAAATCCTTCGCTTGGGAAGCTTCGAAATCAGTCGCAGTTCCCCCTTGTATACAACCCATTCTCGAACACCCTTGCCCTTGTTCTTCTCCCGAGCTTGCTGACATAATTCGTACTCCTGGATGCGTTCACCGGCAGTCATACTTCTACGAATATAAATGTTCGAGAAGTTAGAATGTCGTAGCCGATACGCGTTGGAAAGTGCTTGAATCCAGTGTGAACGCGAGGGAAAAACTATCTTAACTAGTCTGGGCCTTACCCCATCAAATTTCCCCATCCTATACATCTCCGAGGGCCAACCGTCGACGTTCAACACATCCAAAACCTCTGCCACCCCTTTTTCGAGCTCGACTTTCCTTTCCAGAACAGACTTGTTCGGATCCTCTTCCGGCAAACCTGCCAAAACAATACTTCTGCGTCGTTTCTCAGTCTCCACATCGGGAGGAATTTTTGTCCTGAGAGCAAGTACCATTTTTTCAATAAGGGGGTCGGTGTTTCTTTTGAGGATTGAGGCAATGATTTCCTCTGCCGACAATTCACCAAAATCCCCATCGTGTTGAGTACTGCTGTCGATAGAAACAGGTGCAGACTGAGACAGACTACGAGAATCCTTCTTTCTGGATGCACGAGAAGAGGTCGGTTGAGTACTTGACCTCAGCGAGACCGGCATCGTAACTAATCAATCGAGGACACACGAAACTAAACTATCAGAGAAAAGACGGGATAATGAAAAATGGAAAGGAGCTTGAGAGATGACCAGGGCAAACCGAAGGCTCTAACACAATAAAAAACCGAATTTTACTCCGAAAATTAACGAAAAAATCAAGAATAATGACGGGCGAGAGAGCGAGCGATGAGGAGGCAACCGCTCAGCGTCAGCGTTCAGTGACTTTTTTCCAGTAGTAGTCGCTCATTTAAGAGCGTGTCTGTCAAATTAACTCTGCTAACTCAAGAGGTACACGCAACTGTCCCTTAACTTGCTTTGTGTAATTGCACCATTTTCGCAATTTGGAGTAGGGCGCATTTTGTTGTCAAGTTTGGAGAAAGTTCACCAAGAAATGTAAGAATGAGACGTGCGCAAGATAGGGCCAGGTTTGTATCTTCTGTGTCAACAGTTCCAATGCAAATCATCGATATCGGATCACATTAATTCAACTTTAATGACTGCAGCTCTAGAGCAGTCACATACAAACTGAATGATCACATTTTTAATATTATTGTCCAAAAGATCAGACTTAAACTACATGATGAACAAGTGCTGCGGTTAGTAAATGAGTAACTGTGTGTCTTCTGTCATTTGTAAAGAGCGAAGAGAGTCTTGAATAAAATTAAAGAATAAAGTAGATTCAAAAGCAGCGTTCAATCACACAAGGCAATGTTTTAATGAAGACTGCTGTACAAACCTTGCATGTTCGCACTCCAATGCCGCAGGGCTCTAACTAATCAAAGCGGAGATGAGAACTTAGATTTAAAATATTTTTGAGCCATCATACAATGCGTTTGACGGGGCCAGCGCCGCCTGGTGCAGTACACACCTGTGCGCGAGTGAAACCGTGCAAGGACCATGCCGCTGTCCTTGAATTAGCCACTCTTCCTTCTTTCTTAGCTTTTCGCTGTCCTGCTTCCAAATTTCTGAGCTTTCCCTACCTAAAACCCTACTTCGGTGCTCTTCCTGAGATCTCTCAAAGTATCAGTGCGCGATTTAGAAGACAAAATGGAGGTTTGAGGTGTAAAAGAAGATGTAATTTGAACCAATTCCTTTGAGAATTCTGAAAAGAGCTGGTGCTCTTCCTCTTTAGAGCTAAAGGTGGATATGTGAGGTGTAATCGTATGTCTTATAGGTTGAGAGAACAGTCTGAGTGAACAGGGCCAACGCGCGGTTCACTCAAACCTGGGTGAGTGACTTTTCATACGATGAGCAATTCCGAGGTGCGAGGTGTGAACACCTACGGCGGATTGTCAAGTCTCGCACCTCCGCGTCTAGTATACTGTAGGAAGGGGGGGGGGGAAGGGGGACTTTCTATACGAATGCCCTCATATTATCTTTTGGCAAAGATCCAGTGAAAATTGACACCATGCCAGATTTGGGCCTGCTGGCTCCATTCTAAAAAATAAAACATCTAGATTAGTTTTTGCAGTACCGCGAACTTGGATAAGGTGTTTTGCTGTGAAAAAGAACATCATGATCGTTCTACTCCGAGTTTTTAGTATTTAAATCGACATGAATTCGGTTTTTTGCAAACGTGAACTGATTTGAGTATGATCACTTGCCTCTCCGACCTTTCAGCATGACCTGGATGCTGCCGTTCCCGTAGGGGATATTGGGTGTATGTCAAGAGGCGCGATTTTTATTGTCAGATGAACACCAAATAGCATATAAAAAGTGTTTTATGACTTTCTAAAAGTATTCAAATGTTATAAGGAGATGAACTAGTGATTGCATGGGTTTCAATCTTGATACCTTGTAGTCGGTTCGCTTTGGCCTAACAATCTTTACTATGATACGCTATTTCAAAGCTCTTCGAATTGTTCATCGTTTCTACACTCCTTAACCCCACCACCGCCAGGTAAGATTTATACAACAGAAAAATCAAGGTTTGCTTTCTACGCACAGAACCAGTGAATTATTAACTCGAATGATTTGGAGATAATTTCATGTGCTTATTTATGTGCCTTGCAAATTTCATTGTACAATTTTGACAAAACATTTTATTTTAGTCCATTGTAATCGATAACTGGTCGTATCACCAGCATACTCCTAAAAGGTCAAAATGATCAGTGAGCATTCGTATAAAAAGTCCCCCATTCCACCCCTTCCCCCACCCTCACCTAAGCGTAGTGGAGAATCTTACTCATTGCGCGGGTGGAGAGTTGCGATGTAAGTGTGAGGTAGGTGCGAAGCTAGGTGCGAAGTCCCCGATCGTTTGAAAAGTCCCCCCCCCTCAAACCTAGACGATATACGATTATGCCCGCTGAAACAGATTCGATATGAATCATGACATCCGAGATCAGCCATCTAAAAAAGGCCTGGATGAAATGAAAGATGTCATGAGAAAAAACGCTCAAAGATTTGATACCTCCTTCCTCAGCTGCGAAAAAAATCATATCCGGTATCAAGGCAAATCGCATATGAGCACAGAAGCAAGGAAAATGGCAATACGCCGCTACAAAAAAGGAAAAATTACAAGATAAAGGATAAAGGATTCGGCGTCTTCAACACCCTCCGAGGGCATGCGCCAAACTCACACACTAACTTCATAGTCAAAAAGGCAATTGTATGCTGCGGGCCTATTACAGTGATTTGTGAGGGCCAGCCGTTTCCAAGTCAGTGCTTTTATCCTCCCAGATTACTCTGGTACCAATTTACCGGCCCCGGAGGGTAGAGGGCTTGGTTTGCCCGGGGGCGGGGATCGAACCTGTGTCCGATCTGGTCATAGCGGCGCCTCGTACCACTACGCCACTCGTCCCCTAAATTACAAGATATAATGATAAAAACAAGGCCCACGATATTGTGCGCAGCAGTCCCTGCACGATGGCCTACGGTAACGCTCATGCGTAGATGTGTGACTGCACTACGCGGCGCTGGCCCCTTTGAACGCTTTGTAAAATGTTATCACTATAATATTCAGCTATCATGATAATACTTCAAAAATCTAAAAGAATGCAAAAAAATATTCTGCACACGACTGATTGTTCACTATTGAGTCTTGTGTTCTGAACATGCCTGTACAGGGCCCGGCACGAGTCGGTTTCTAGCGTTTTTGAAAACGATGTCTCCCCTGACTTTCGGAAGTTTTACGAAGTCCCCTTTGACATACCTGCTTAAAAGATGAAAACAAGAAAGATTCATAAGAGTGAAAATCCAAACTGGAGCTGAATACTACGCATGCACAACTTTGGCATTAGAGCGCGATATTTAACAAAGCGAGAAGAAATGAAGGCAAAAAACAAAGTAAAGGCAATGATATGAAAATGTCTTCATGCACAGGGTTAGACTTTTGATCGAGGAATCCGTCCATGCTAAAAAGATCCGAAACTTATATGGAGTGACGAAAATATATGCTCCAGACGATCTCAGATCTGGTGGTCGTCTGGAGACGATCTAATTATGGAAAACGTATTACTTCACATAAGTTTTCAGACCTTTTTACATAATTCTTTTGCAAATAATTTTCTATGTATACAGTTCAGTTTTGGTGTCATATGATTCGGTGTGCGCTGTAAACAAACAATTTGTTTATTTTAGCCTTGCTTTCAAATCGCGCGCACTTTTCGCCATACACGATAGGGCATGTCAACCGTGTGATAGCCTGTCCGAAAAGCTTATGTTCGACTAAATGGCGCTTCTTCTTGGTGCTGGACCCCTAATCGTTAAAAACGATATCTTCTTTGCTTTTTGCTCCAAAAACGAAGTCCAGCCTGCTTCCAGACGATCTATGCCGGGTCCTGTGCCTGTAACGCTTTGCTTCTAATCGTATTAAGAAATCTCCAAAAAAGGTTCTTTGAGAAACACAGCCTACGGAAGTCCTTGCTTGTGGAAAGAAAACTATACGGAATCTTACATTTATACTTCCATTCGCTATAATACACAGTCGATCACCCATCGCTGATGCAGCAGAGATAGCCCAAGACGAATCTGATTGTGGCATCTTATTGACAGGAAAGAAATTTCAAAGCCCGCTGAATTTTTCTTACTACACTTTGACTGGTCGCGAATGTAGCCGATAGACTTGCACTTTGGCCATTGTTGGCGGGCATCAAACCTAGATTGCATAATTAATTATCTGTGTTTATTATCCGGAATACACTCTTTAATTTGAAGCAATTTTAGACATTTCTGATGCTCATTCATCTCTAGCGCATAGATATATGCCAATTATAGAATCCTACTCGATAAAGAAGTCCAACTTAAAGGAGACTTGAAGTAGTCTTTTGAGTCACCTATTTTTCCTCTGTCAGGCAGCACCGATCATGGCGGATGCGTTTTCTGTAAATTTATCTTTACGAATGGAAAATCCAAAATTTAATTTTGCCGAGGCAATTACTGATTTCTTCAACTAAAAACGATTTAGGCTTTTACCTGCATTTTATATACAATTGGTTCTATGTGAGAGAGTTGCAGCAAAAAAATAAAGTCGTCCAAAGGTAGCGCACCACTGTGGGCCTCCGAACGCAGTTTAATCAGTACAGTCAGTACTCGACGTGTCACAAGCTCCATTGCACACTGGCAGCATTTGCTCTCAGAATTCAAACTTGTAAATCCCAGGCGTCAACGTTGCTAGCTGCGGATTTTTCAAATTTGAATTAAACAAACAAGACCGCAAAGAACTTCAATGGCAGCGGCTCGGCAGAATGACATCTTTGGGGTACGCACGTCTCGGTTCCCCTGAATGAACTAGCAAGGGAAGCTATCTAACTAAGCTCGGCCTTTTGGCAAGAGCATAGACATTCTGAATCAGCTTCTAACGCTGATTCCAAATATGCTATTCCTAGCTGCCACGCACTATTTCGAAGCGAGTTATGAGCTTTTTCCTGCGCAAATTTGGCATGCTCATCAACTCACGAGCATCACGTCATCATCATTTGAGTGCTGATACACCTGTGTTGAACTTTTTTTTAGTGAGAAAAGATCGGATTTGTACTATTTTCGATACTTCAGCACCTTTTTCTTGCAGATTTTTATCTACAGGCAGTCTTCTCATGTTCAGTAGTATGCCAATTTTGCGTAGGAAAAATCCCATAACTCGCTTTGGAATGGTGCGTGGCAGCTAGGAATAGCATTTTTTGAATCAGCGTTAGAAGCTTATTCAGCAAATTTATGCCTTTTACCAAAAGGCCGAGCTCAGTTAGGTAGCTTTCCTTATAAGTCCGAGGCTGTACTTTGCAGCTTAGAGATATGTCAATAACCGCATTTTCAGACGTGAAAAATGCTATTTGGGCGGACGGAGTAAGCCTGCCCTCTAGAGCGCGATTGGCCCGTGAATAGAGATACTGTAGCAATCTTGGCGGCAATTGGATTATTGGCTTCAGCAGCCACTTTCGCGACCCGCCCAATAGCACTTTTCACGTCTGGGAAAACAAGTTCTTGATTCTTCTTCGAAAACTGCAAAGCATGGTTTCAGACTCAGCTCATCCAAGGGAGTCAAAAACAATGAATATCCTAAAGTTGCCATTCCGTCGACTCGCTGCCTTTAACAGGAATTCGATACATGATGAACATTTTGCAAGCAGAAACTTCCAACATGTTTCTGAATCCAAAAATCCATCTTGAAATTGAGTTGCAGGTTGAAATGAAGTTAGACAGACTTTGCGAAAGTAGGTGACTCATTTTCCTATTTATTTGATTCAGAATTTGCTATCCAGGTGGAGCGTTACTTTGTTACAAACAAGAAGACTGACAACACATACAGGGTGTCACAAAAAATGTGTCTAATGTTTGATTATTAACAACTCTTTTGTGATAAAGTCTTTTGAGAAACTTTGAATACCATTTTATAAAGCTAGCTTCAACTCAGATTTACAGTATAGAGCGAATCAGCGATCGTGCTTCATTACTGTGGGATTACGGTAGAAACTTCAGAGAGGGTGTTGAGCCAGAAAGGCCATACATTGTTTCAGAAATGAAACAAAACGGCCTGAAAACTTTCAGACTGGGCTAATTAGAGTTGATGATTCTAAATGTGAAGTTCGCAACTTATCATGATGCTTCCTCAAAAAGTTATGCGAGGTAAGCAGTAGCGGCCGTTATTTCGATGTTCCCAAAAAGTGCGGTTAAACCGGAAAACTTTGCAATCTTGTATATAATTGAGTGTTGAACTCGGCGTTTACAAAAACCTTAGTACACAATTTTTCACATTTTTTAAAAATTTTTGAAACGGCAGCTTTTTCACAATGACACGTATTAGGTTGTTGCATAAGTTCTTTCCCATTTTTTTGCCTTATGTTTGAGGCAGCTGTTCTAAGAGGATTTCATCTCCGATGTGGTATTGTTAGTATCATTAGCGAGTGCTTTTCTTGCGCTTTCTAAGGCATATCAAATTTCAATAAATTTCTTAGTAGGAGATTTCAGGCCTAAAATCTCTAAGTGGCCGAGGTACTTCTCACCCTAGAAATATGTTCTTGCGAGGAAATCTCCACAGTGCGCCTTTCAATTCAAGCTCTTTCATTGGCTGCGGAATAAGGGTGTAGGCTAGCATACGCATAAGTTCAGTTTTATGAAGAAAACGTCTTGCTAATAAAATTTATTGTCAAACATTACTTTTCTGTATAGATGTTTTACAAGCTATAACTTTCTGTGAATAGAAGTAATCGACGACTTCAAAGTTGGAGGTCTAGCGTAAAGCAAGGGCTAACAAACTCAGGCAATCGCATCGGACAGTTCGCGGCCTTAAAGCGTGTTACATGGAGCGCCGCGGCCCCTTAAGCTTGAGCTCCGCACGCCGCGGCCCATGTATATTTTACCGGGAACGCCGCGGCCAAAGTTGAAACTGGGAAATAATTATCGGGAGGGTCGCGGACCAACCAACTCACTCGGCGGGCCGCGGGCCTTATCAAAAGCCGCACTTCTTACACACTGTAGGATAAGGCGCAACCCGCGTGAGGTACGCCGCAGCGATGGGGCTACCCTAAGTGTTCATGAAGCCGGATATCACTGCTCGGATTTGGTCCTGTTCTGACAGAATCGAGTTCTCATGATCATGAAGTAAACTCCAGCAGTCGGTTGAGTGTTATCGACGACGCTAGATGATTTCGACAGATGAGCTAACAAGTTGCTCAGTTTGCACTCAAGTCCGTCATTGTGAAGGGCAGACTAAATAGTTCTTCACTCTTCCTAGGTCTTACAAGCATGCTAATCGGGTCAACTATAGGCGCCTAACGGGCTCTTACAGGATGCGCCGCGGTCACTTATCGGGTCTAATATATGGGTTTACCGGGCAGCTCGCGGCATGGATGATTGGTGGTCGAACAAGCACCCGCGAACTTCCCGATACAATTGTTTGAGAAAGACCATCCACCAATTTTTTTCGGCGCTCACGGCAACTGTAAAATTTCCGTAATTTGTAAGTAGGCATGCACACATGCGCTGAAGCGGGGTCAAAAAGTGGCCAATTTTTTGTTCGGTCAAAAAATCTCTAGGCAACGCAGACCTTATGGGCTCTTTTATGATGCCAAATAATCTGCGAAAAATCCTCTATTTATCCATTGATAGAAAAGATGCCTATCAATTCTCATAAGGGAGCACTGCCATGTCAAATAAGAAAGGTATGAAGAAAAACGCTGTAAAGTTTTTGAGTTCTTGCTTCTTCCTCAACAAGAATTTCCACAGGTTTCAATATGTGTCTGATAGCCAAGGTATGCTCAAAAAGTACAAACGAAGATATTGGGAAAAAGCTGACTTTGAAAGAAGTTATGACATTTTGAAGTCAAAAATTTCAAACCGAACAGAACTTATGCAACAACCTGATACTTTAAAGGCGTCCAGGCAAACCTGGTCATACAGGGTTCTGATGTGGTAAGAAATTTTGGGGCCCTAACTAAGACATTGCTCAAGAGACAGCTCGAATGGTGAACTCACAATTGAAATCGCCTCCAAACTGGACCCCAGAATCGTAATCGCATGGCTTCATGGCGCTACACACATGGGTCCTCGCGCGGAGTTGATGTGTCGCGCCATGAATCCACGCAAATACGATCCCGGGGTCCAGTTTGGAGGTGAATACCTCAACTGTGAGCTCATCGTTTGAGCTGCCGCTTGTTCAGTGTTTTAGTTAGGGCTCCAAGATTACCCTCCAAGTGAGGTCCCGTAGGCGCAGATTTGCCTGGACGCTGCCTTTAGAGAGATTGCTTTGCTCAATCGAAAGACATGTTTCGCACAGACTTACAGTCTATGTCAATTACGTACTCCCTTTTGCATGGGAGCCATATAACAGGCGGGCGCCACGCAAAGGCTCTGCGTTGCGTTGCGGACTTCAAATCGATGAGGCCAATTTGAATGCTCGAAACATACGCGCGCGGACGTGGCGCGAAATTCATTGCGTTTACGGGAAAGCGAGCAAGTGATTGACACGGAATGTATGTCTTTTCTACCGAGGTAGGATAAGGACCATGCATCAATTTTGCATCAAACTAATGCTTTTAAGCGTAACTTGGTTATTGCCTCCATCAGTGAATAGGTTCTGGCTTTTTCTGAAAAAAAAAACAAAATTTAGCTTCAGATGAAATACGGCTCGATGCCTTTGGCACACAATTTCAGTTGAAAGAAAAAGAAAGATGGGACAAGAGAAAGGAAGTACAGTGAACGCGACCAAATCCGAGTGGTATCTTCTTCGTCGACAAAAATTATATCATTTGTGTTGGAGCGCCTGGATCGTGGAGATCGTGACTTTGGCGGGAAAAGGGCCCGATTTGACTCCCTTAGCAGGGTATAAATACCGGTGGATAGGGGGGAGCAGGCAGAGCGTGAAGAGAGCGCTCCAGGGAGTTCAAACGAGCCGTCGAAGAGAGGTGGTAGATAGAAGATAGATAAAAGATAGAAAGCCCTGCTGAGGCCAAATCGGGTCAGAAGGACCCATATTCGCTGTTCAGTGTTCAAGTTGTTCAGGTTGTTCAAGTTATTCTTGTTCATTGTTGCCATAGAGATGAATATCTTTATTTCAACTGTGTCTTTATTGATCGATCCGGTTCAAACCGTCAATACCACTAGACCACCCCCCTTTGGGCGCCTACTTGGAATTTCCTAATTAGTCTAAGTAAGCTAGCCAAGCTTCTGGGATCTTACAAATCCACTTTCCCGCATTAGAGCCATTTTTCGCCATTTTAGTTTATAAAATAGTCTAAGTAAGCTAAAATAATCAAAAATAATTATAAAATATTCAAATTTATAAATCAATCAACTAAGCTCTGCAAATTTTTATTCTTCCATATGCAGATGGCAGTGAGAAATGCAAGGTTAGCATAAGAGCACCTGCAACTTCTTTCTCAGTGGGATATGTATTTGACGATACAGCTTCCCTACCCTTCATTTACTTTTCCTTCCCCCTCATTCTCCTTTAGTGCTTCCAAAAATTCATATATTAGGTGGGTGCAAAAGTTTTGTCAGTTTTTTCAATCCATTGGCAAACACATTAGAATGAAGATGAACAAACATTTCAAAATGTATTCGATGCAGAATTTTTTTCTCTTTCTAGCCGCTAAACAGTCACTGTGTTTGGTTGCGAGAGTGACGAGATATTTGCTGGAAATTACAACCATTCGTTTTTACCGTGTCCAACTTTCACTAACTTTCAAAATTTTTGTATGAGATTTCCGAAGGAGCCCTAGTAACCACCAGATACACCAGATAGCCAAAATTTTTTGCCATCTTATGCAATTTTTTCCTTTTTTCCAGCTGCTTTTTCAGATTTTTACTAGACAATTTTCTAAAAGTCTTGTGTTTTGGAAAAGCGGCAAAACCTGTTGTAGCACCAAACACTACAAAACTTACGGAGTACTGAGGTTTCAACACTCGATTATTACCTACCGCTACCATAACAAAGTAAATGAGCGATTTTCGCTTCAAATAATGAAGATTTTGAAACATAGGTTACGTCAGTGCGCACTCTTGAAATTGAGAAATACTGCGATTTTCCCCACGAATTTCGCCCGTCTCGGCAAAAAAAGACAAGTGTTAGAAGGAGGAAGAAAAGTTACATCGAATGATGACTGAAGTGCTTAACATTTCATGTTCTACGAAATTGAAATAGGCTGAATGTAAAATTTGGTCACTTCAAAAATAAATCGTAGAAATTCTGGAAGACAACCGTAAGGCTACAAAAAATTGCTTTCATTGGCAAAAGGTTTGCCCTATCTGTTGGTTATTAGGGCTCCTCCGTAAGTCTCATACAAAAATTTTGAAAATTAGCGAAATTTGGACATGGTAAAAACGAGTGGTTGTAACTTCCAGCAAATATCTCGTCACTCTCCCAACGAAACACAGTGGGAGTTTAGTAGCTGGAAATAGGAAGAAATTCTGCATCGAATACATCTTGAAGTATTTGTTTATATTCATTTTAGCGTTTGCCGATGGATCGAAAAAAACTGACAAAACTTTTGCACCAACCTAATAAAATCGCAAAATTCAAAAAAATCTGATTTCTGAAAGTTCCAGTTTACCCCTCAGTTTGCAGATTCGCACATCTCCACTCTCTCATTTTCGAATCTTGCGCTTAGGCTCCTTCTCTACCTGAGAACGGCTTGTTTGTGATGGAGGAGTCAAGGACATTCGTGAATTATCTATGAGATTGGGAGATGAGTAGCAACGTGGAAAAATCTCACTGAAAAACCATACAAAGCCGAAACTCGCCAGTTACCCATGTACCCTTTTCAAGTTTATTAGCTACAGATCTTATTGTTACTAACAAATCTTGCTTGAAGATTCTTACTGTGGCTATAAGGTGTTTTAGGTGACAGTGGCGGTAGAAAAAATTACTTCAAAAAGAGGAATGGCAAAATTCTGAAAATGGGACGTAAATTATCCAGAAGTTCTATGGAAGATATGGCTAAGTTATATCATTGTGAGATTTTTTACGAGCTCATAACCATGTGATTTAAGAAAAGTGAAGAAGGCATGAAGACGCTCCGGGATTTTTACAAGGCTGATTTGAAAAAAAAACAAAAATTTGATATTATAGTAGTTACCCTTGTATAACTCCTGGCTCATGTGGACAAAATGTATCCTTCCGTTCTCTCCTTCCCCTCCCCTCCCCCTCCCGCTGCGCTTACTGTCGTCGTAGGGCGCGTCAAGCGGAAAACGGTGAATGGGCGGGAACGAAGCTACGCCTTCCAAAAAGAAAGTGGTTTTTAAAGAAAGATGGACGAGCTGGACAATTCAACAAGGGGTATAAATTATATGAGCTGTTGTGTAAGAGACGGACTATAAGGATAATTTTGTTTCTCTAGCGGAGCTCCCATGGGATTTACAAAGATTGTTTCTATTTTCACAAATATATATTAGGTTGTCGGATAATTTTTTTCACCCCTCGTTTTTGAAACGCTAAAAGCACCGCAATGCCTCAGTGTAAGAGACAATGCCAAAATACCGAAAAAAATTCTAGAGAGGGAAAGGGCAGGTAGGTGCAGGGAAAAAGATCAGACAAAAACTGAAAAATTTGACTGCTCTTACAAAACTGCCGTAAACTTGTTGGTCATTAGTGCACTTGCGGAGCTATGTCCTTAGCATTTTGCAGATTTGGGGTTTTCAGAAAGCTTCTTAAATTTTCTAGAAATTTTATAAAAAAGTGTAACAGAAATTATCCGACAACCTAAATTTAATTCCCATAACTCACTCAATAGCCATTCAATTTTGTCGTAATGATTTTTGGCAAGGAAAGGGGATAAAGAATGAATGCGAATTCCAAAAAAACTGCTTAAGCTTCAAAGACAAATTTCCTGTGATGTGCGCGCAGTCAATGACTACGATACACATCCTTATATAGTAAGCCTTCAAAGCGACAAATCAAATGTTTGAAGCGGCCAGACTAAATCCCTAGTTTCGGAATGATAAATTCAGCCGTTTTTAGAGTTGCTCGCGTGACGGCGTTGTGCCGCTGTCGGCGCCGTTTCGTGCCAATGCCGTGCCAGGACTCCCTGCACGCACCCCGTGTTGATCGATAAGCGACATCAGCACTGCGCTAGAGCGATCCTGGCCAAGGCTCGACACAGCTGTCAGGGGTCAAGTTGGATCGTTTTTGGAACAAAAAGCAGGGGATATCGTTTTTGTAGCCGAAAAAACACAAAAATTTTGACGTTTTTTCAGTCAACATTTTGTTTTTTCAAAGATTACGTCTAGGGTTTAGGATTAAAGGGGACTTCGTAATATCTTGCGAGAGAAGGACTTGCGCCAGCTCGTGCCAAGCCCTCATCCTGGCACAGAACTATGCTAATATCGTACAATGGCGCAAACAAAATGTTTTGTAGCGGCTGTTTGCGATAAAATTCTTGGCGAATAATTATTGCAGGCATTTTATTTTACAAAATAGCGCCATACAATGCTCGTTATTCTTCCTTTTCGCGCAAAACTTTTTCGAAAATAAAAAGGCAGAATAAAATGTTTAACGATTCTAAATGCGTAAGAGACGCTGCATCTACCACAAGCATCTTACCTTACGAATTTGTCGGTATGCAGCTCTCCTTTTCTTTTTGGCATGCTTTATCTCATGGGTTTCTTTATTTTAGAAAGTTGCAAAAGTGTCGATGAAGGTCTTTGGTCTCATCATGCTGGTGGGTATCTTCAAGATATAGACACCCAAATAGTCTCCTGCGGTTTTGACAACACTTGCGCGTTAACAGAATTGTCAAGCATATATTTCACAATTTGCTATCATGGTACAAAAGGCCAAGTTTTTTTCGATTGCGCACTTTGGTCGTTCACCATGAGCATGACGTCGGCAACCGCAACAGCACTTTATGGCCCTTCAAATCGCAATTTTCCTCTTTAATTTCGCTAACTTTACAGATGGTTCTCATGGTGTCTCTCCTAACTGGTAATATCCTCTACCTTTCACTTGTACATTTGATAAAGTGTCTACATTCAGACGCACGAGGCCACGGCCACGGAGGAGGCCACGGCCGCGGAGGAGGCCACGGAGGGGGCCATGCAGGAGCCTACGGAGGAGCCCACGGAGGAGGCTACGGACAAAGTTATACAAGAGGTACAGATATATTTGTACAGATCCCAGATATTTGTCCAAAGCTTTGCCAAAGCCAAAATGCCTATTTAGGCAGTGAGGGACCATTAAGAACAACACCACCGACAACAGAGTCTAAACCATGGTATCACTGGCTTTGGCCCCCGAATTGGATCTAAACCATGAATGCAACAGAAATGAACCTTGTCGTGCATCCTCATATCTCATAGGAGAATTCCTTATGAACGCGGACTAAAAAGGGTTTACCATGTGAAGCAATTAAACTGCAAGTAAACATCTTTGTCCATACAGATATCTATGATCGCAGTATGGTAAGCGACAAGCTATTCGCAGGTACTCGGCGTATCATTTGCATCGGGTGCACTAGCATCTTTGCCGCTACCGCGCGACCGCCTCGCCTGGACTTTGTACCTCTTTTGCGAACGTGCTCTCATGCCACTTTCCCACTACGAGCGTGAGAAACGCGGAGCATCAATCGCTAATTAAATATGCGGGTAGAATTAGAGAGCATGTTTGAAAGAAAGAGGCGAAGAGCCAGGCGATGCGGCCACGCGGGAGCGGAGATGCTGGCGCAACCCGACTCTGCAATTGATAAGCCGTAAATGTATTCAATCTGGAAGGGAAGCAGCGTCCCGTCAAAATGATGGGGGCCGGGATTTTACAGTGTTGCATTGGTAGATACTTCAGTTTTGCCTTTTGCCTTTTAGTGAAGTCTAAAGCGAAAAACGCTACTGGACCCCCCTCCCCATTTCTTACACTTCCAGCATAGCTTTCAAAAAACCTCTTTTTTGCCGTTTTCAGGTAGTGAAAAGCTCAAATAGGGCTTCAACATGGCGAGAAGTCTCGGATGAGGTGAAAAACAGAAGAGCGAATTTGTCCGGGCACTGCCTTTAAAGGCAGCGTCCAGGCAAATCTGGACTTATGGGGATCTCACGTGAATAGTAATTTTGGGGCCCTAATTAAGTCACTGACCACCAGCAACTTAGGTAGTGCTTAACGGCTGAGATATTCCCCTCAAAACTGGACCGCAGGATCGTATTTCGCATGCATTCATAGCGCAACCCATCAGTGGATCCTCGCGCGAAAGCATGCAAACACGATGCAAGTCGTCCGGTAATACGATAGTGGGGTCCAGTTTGGAGGCGTATATCTCAGCCGTTAGCGAGTCATTTGCGCTGCCGCTTGAGCAGTGCCTTAGTTGAGGCTCCAAAATTACTTTGCACGTAAAATCCCCATAGGTGCAGATTTGCCTGGACGCTGCCTTTAAATTTCTAGCGTAATCCTATAGTAATGAAGAGCGACTGGTGATTTCACACTTTATGTAAATCTGTTAAATCCAGCTCTACAAAACGGTATACTCAAAGCTTCTTGAAAGACTTCTTTACGAGAGAGTTGTTAACAATCAAACAGTAGGCACATTTTTTGGGTCACCCTGTATGTCAAGAGTAAATCCTCTTATGAACTAATCTGTCCGAAGTTGAACGCTAGTTATAACTACTTACAATTTTTGTGATCTTATTTCGGCTGCAATATCGAGTTGTTAGAGGAAAGGATGCAGACTAGCTTTGCATAAAATTTTTGTCAAAAATATACCAATTAGCGTGATTGAAAATACACACTTACTTCTCAGGCGGATCGTCGTTCCTCGAGTCCGCAGTTCTCACACCGTCGATTACAGTGGTGTACTTGCCTGCAAGAATTTTTTGACTGTAACGTCAGCCGATTTCAACTTCTGAAAACTCCTCCCAAAAAGTCGTGGTATGGTTTTTGCCCTGACTTAGTCGAATGCGAATTTTGAAAAGTTTTGTATAAAAATGCATTGAGTCGGCACCTAATGCAACTTTTTTCAATAACCTTTTCGATAACCACACAAATAACATTTATTTCGCGAGATAGTCTTTTTCATTTATTTATTTATATGATACACAATGATGTTCCAAAAAGCAACAAAAAAGCAAAGCAGTAAACATGAAGCACAAGCAGTCGAGGTCTATCGCAATTCTTTTGCTGGAAAGACCAGGTCGTTCTCTCCTTCAAGAAAAGAGCAAACAAACTTCACACAGCATTTTCATCGAGTTCATAGGGGTAAGGTGATACCCAGGGAATCACCTCACACTTCCTTATTAGGGTATGAGAACTTTACAAAATAGATGGCAGAAGAACAATGCAGATATCGCGGTCGTATTTATCAACGAACCCGAGGTTAAACATTACCCTCAAGGGTAGATTTTACCCTCAGGGTTCATTGGCCGTATTCATCAATGAACCCTTGAGGATAGGGTTGGGTTTACCCCGGAAAGCAATTAACACATTGGCGACCATGCAGATTTTTAGTTTTCTGCCGTCTGGGACCAAGGCCTTTTACGGACCAGCTCACAATTCTCAACTATAATTACGCATAATGCCATCTACAGTACACCTGCGGTTGACCCGTACACGAACGTGGCTCATCAGGGTAAATTTAACCCTGGCATAGAACAAGTTCAGATTCACGCTGACACCTACACACATCAAGTGATCGCTCGATGCACTACTAATCAGTCCCAACGATACCGTTTTGACAACACAAATTTCGGTAACTACTATCTCAAACTTCCTATGCCTCTTTTCGCGTTTTCATTTGATGTTATCATCCGTATTACAATCGGCCGAGTTGTACTGTAAAAGATTTAGTTTGAATAAAGTACATGTCCACCCAAAGAATTGATGGCCAACATCAAGCTCAACAACTCGAAAAATTTTTGTAATTTGGAACACCCTCCCCTCATTCAAATTTTAGTCCACCAATGTACTCGTTCAGTAAATGATCTGATACATGATCACACTTCCGTAGCTCAACTAGATACATTTGAAGTTCAACAACAAAATACTAAGGAAAACTTATTCTAGTTTTTATAACATGACTAGCTGGCTTACCCGGCTCCGCCGTATCCGGACCAAACTTGGCACACATACACTTCGGGCCCCGGCGGGTGTCACAGTCCACTTTTCGTTATCGATCGATGTCGATTTTACCGATTTTTATCGATTTTTTGGCAGAGTTCACCTACAGGGCTAGGAGTTGGCACAGGGGGGAAGTGAGCATGGGGATTCCGAATACAATATTAGTTTTCAGAATTATCGATTGCTTTTATTGATTTTATCGATTTTTTGGCAGAGTTCACCTACAGGGCTAGGAGTTGGCACAGGGGGGAAATGAGCATGGGGATTCCGAATACAATATTAGTTTTCAGGATTGTCCATTACTTTTATCGATTTTATCGATTTTTTTGCAAAGTTTGACCTGCGGGGCTGGGAGTTTGCACAGAGGGTAATCGAGCATGCAGATTACGAATACAATATTAGTTTTCAAGATCGTCCATTACTTTTATCGATTTTATCGATTTTTTGAAAATTTGAGCTAGGGGGCTGGAATTTGGCACAGGGGTGTTCGAGCATGCTGATCACCCCCCTTGGGGATGATCAGCATGCTCGATTACCCCCCTGTGCCAACTCCCAGCCCCCTAGCTCAAACTTTGCAAAAAAATCGATAAAATCGATAAAAGTAATCGATAATCCTGAAAACCAATATTGTATTCGGAATCCCCATGCTCGATTACCCCCCTGTGCGAACTCCCAGCCCCGTAGCTCAAACTTTGCAAAAAAATCGATAAAATCGATAAAAGTAATCGATAATCCTGAAAACCAATATTGTATTCGGAATCCTCATGCTCGATTACCCCCCTGTGCCAACTCCCAGCCCCGTAGCTCAAACTTTGCAAAAAAATCGATAAAATCGATAAAAGTAATCGATAATCCTGAAAACCAATATTGTATTCGGAATCCCCATGCTCGATTACCCCCCCTGTGCCAACTCCCAGCCCCGTAGGTGAACTCAGCAAAAAAATCGATGAAAATCGATAAAATCGATATCGATCGATGACGAAAAGTAGCCTATGACACCCGCCGGGGCCCGTAGTGTATGTGTGCCAAGTTTGGTCCGGATCGGTTCAGAAATGGAATTTTCTATTCGGAACATACGTACACACACACACACACACAGACAGACAGACAGACAAACAGACATTCAGCTTTATATATAAGATTGGACAAGACGAAAAAAGGACTTAGGAATTCCGAGATACTAATAATTAGAACTATGTATTTATTGTCAAAACATTATCGTTAACTGAGCGGCGTACTGAGAGATCATTTTGTGTTTGTACGAAGTATCAGGGTGAATCTAACATTACGCTATGCTAGGATTGAATTTATTTGATGAGCCACGTCCTCAAGGATAGAAATTACCCTGATAGTATTTAACGAATCGGATTAATCTCTTTTCGGGCAAGGTTTACCCCCAAGGGTAGGTTCAGCTCTTCAGATTTCCTACCCTGTTTGTGATTACTGCTTTTATGCTTTCTGCCGTAAAAGTTGCTAGTAAGTTCTACCCTCAGGGTCCCTTGCTGAATACGGCCAGTGGAGTACTACGACGCGTTTCCTAAAATGCCTATCTCCCTCTGTATGTACGTGCGCACAGACTCGAAAGGTTCTAGTGCCAATACCATTGCAAATGTTACACATAGCTGAAGTTTATAACATTACGGAAGATGTGTCCCTAATTCAAATACGAGAAAACAAGTTCACTTCATTATCAGTCTTCAATCCTAATCAGGCCAAAATTAGCATGGCGGGAGTCTGCGTTGCTAGGCTTTTGCGCCACGCCTACAGCCTGCTTGTCTTCAGTCTTTCGCTCTCCCAGACAGTCGGTGCCGTAGTCGCGGTGAACGGGAGACGGCCCTTCTGAGCCGCTAGCATTAGCAACATAATTACTGCGCGCCTCTGATTGGTCGGCGCAGCCGCGGCGCTTGAGTAGGCGAGAGCTATGCTGCCATTAGAGATGTCGGAATTGGGCTGCAAAGACATTTTCAGATAAGAAGAAATAAACAAGATTTCGGGTTTCTTATGAAACTCAAAAATGTTATACGTGGGCGGCTTAGGTAAATTCTTCAGCTTACACGTGCAGACTTCATGATGTTTTGGAATGTGGGAAGGGCGAAGAAATCACGAAAGGTCAGTAAAAAAACATGCAACTTTTTCAACTTTTAGTCTTCATAATTCAAACATCGTTATTATCGTTATTCGAGTGCTCGCTTGCTTTGGAACGCTCAGAAATATTTGAAAACTCTTACAGATTATAAGAAAGGCGAGTAATTAGCGCCGCCCGAGCAGAGTAATTAGCGCTAGGACGAAGCGGTTCAGGAGGGCATATACCCGCGGCGGACAGTCGAAATCTGGCAGAGCTGCGGAGGACCCAATTGACCAATGAGAGCGGGGCGAGGGGGCGGTCCCTTCTTGTAGCTCACGGTGACGTCACAAGCGAGCGAATGGGACCTTTCTCCGGGACGCGCAAATCTCTGCTCCGGAGGTACGCCAGATTTGGGAGAGCCCCGGAGCAGAGATTTGCCCGCCGCGAGTGCGCAGGATTTGGGATACCTCCGGAGCACAAAATGCCAGGGCTCCCGAGCACAAATGGGAGGGCTCCAGAGCACGAGTGGCAATCCCCAGCTGGGGAAACCCCGCGGCTCGGCCATTTCTGCTCCGGCGGTATGCCGTCGACTGTCTGACTCTTAGAAAGCGCGCATATGAGGCGCGAACCCCTATCACTGCGAACGCGCAATTCACCCCAACTGTTCGGTCTGATCCCGATTGGGGTAGACTGTACACTTTTCCTTAAAAGTAAAGGGAAAAGTAAATACTACAAATAAAGACCGTCCACTCCGCAGTGCGACTTTCGAGGTGAACCGCTCGCATTAGCAAACTGACCAATCACGCGTGTACTCCAAGAGAGCGCTGACTTCTTGTAGCGTCGCGATTGGAGCAGACTTAGAAAGATCTACATCACTCCACTTGTTTGACTTTTCAAGGACAATAGACCTGACTTCCCTCATAAATCAGTTTTCAGTCTACACAATGCCTGAATTCAAATATGCCTTATCCAAAAAGATGATAGACAAAGCTGCAAAACTTAAGTGCCAACCTGACACATTAAATGCGATGTCAGTAAATTATTAGGTTGTCCCGAAAATTTTGTCCGTTTTTTCACACGACTATCAAACCACGCACAATAAAGACCTGATTGAGTTGCAGAATGCATTCGATGCACAGTCTCCTTCTCTTTCTTATGGATACATTTTTGAACCAAAATCTTGTATGCCGTCTTTGGTTGATTGCCAAAATTCTCCACCGTCAATTTATCTCCTCTAAGCGGCTGATTTTCAAAAATTTTATTCCAGAATTTCGGAAAGAGTTAAGTATGGATCAAACAGAGCAACTCTCGGACTACAAGGTGATATTTTTGGAATCTTCTGATCTGCTGTTTTTAGTTTCAGAAAATTATTTCTTCGGAGGTCTCAATTTCTGGCAAAGTCATGAAACACGCAACTGCAGCAAATACACGAAACCCTTTAAATCTGCGAATTGAAACATATTCTTATTACACATTATTTAGGCAACATAACTAAGTCTGATTTGCTTTGAAAACAGCTTTTTGGGATGATACTTTTACGCGGTAAACGTAATCAAAAAGCAGCGGTTTTCATTAAAATTATAAAGGACTTGGTGAATGTAGCCCATGTAATTTGAAATGAATAATATGTAGGCAAAGGTTTGCTCTACGTAACAGTTACCAGCGCTCTTCAAAAATATCAGAGTAAAAATTTTGAAACTTCAGTAAAATTGGCGTTACTGCTGAGTTGCACAAAAAGCCATGGCGATAACATTGCAAAGACAGGGTAGATCAAAGAGCAAATATAACTGTAAGAAAGGGGATAAAAATCTGAATCAAATGGTACCTGAACCGTCCATGGATTGGTGTTTTGTGAGTTTTAGTGAACGATGAAAAAAAACTGACAAAACTTTCGGAACAACCTATTATTTACACAGCCTCCTGCTAGTAAACTAGAATTTATATTGTCGTCGGTATTACCTACCTTCTTTGAAATTTTTATTTTGGTTCGCTAATACGATGCTCATAAACAAAATTAGCCAAAACATTTCGTATGAATGCTTGCGCAAGATCGAAATCTGAAAGAATTTAGTGTTGAACAGAAATGTAAAGAGTATGATTCTTTGATTTCCTGTGACACTATGGAGCACGCACTTGTTTTGCGCCGCTGATAAGAATATTATTGATATTTAATCAAAGCTGCGAGTAGAGAACAATATACATTTGCGTTTGATTCAGAATAGAGCCTTTCGATTTTGAAAAGTTGGTCAAAAAGCATAGTTAGTCTAAAATAACTGCGTATGTATTGTTTTACTGATGTTTTTTTCCCATTCGAACAAAATCCCATTCCTAATGTTTTTTCGGTGATGTCTGGGTTGTTGCTCGGGATGTGACAAGACCGCCTTTCCAAGGGCATAAAATTGGATTCAAAGCTCTAGGCTTCTTCGTTCCTTTTTGGTCACATGTTCATCACGAAGCTCGGTAACGCAAGGTCTCTTCGAAGGAATGCCTCACATTTAAGACATTTGTGAAATTCCCCCACTTTTCGCAATCCTTTGCAGTTCCAATATCGGCTTGATCTGGTCACGAAATATTGCCCTTTTGAAGGCAGCGTCCCACCAGACTGGGGGTACCTGGCTCTGGTAGTAATGTAATAGTAGACCCCCTAACTAACGACGACAGAAGTTCGCAGCGCGAAAGTGGGTCTACAAAGTCTACAAATCGCCCCTCATGTGGCCCGAATCTTACGGTAGGCTCGTGCGAGTGCGAGGTGCATGCAAGGTAGGGACGCAGAGTCGTTGCGGGACTCTGCGCTCATGACTGTGTGCGCTATACGCACTCGCAAATGGATATTGCCGTGTGGGCGGCGTCCGGGCCTACCGTAAGATTCGGGCCACTTTCGGAGCAAATCCCAGGCGTGGTAGATTCCTCTTTCGCTCCGAACTTCAGTCATCGCTTAGGTAGGGGGTCTACTTTAACATCGCCACAAAAACCTGGCACCCTTCTTTTGCCGGGACACTCCCTTCAAGTAAAGTAACCACACAGCGTCGAATCAGTAACAGATGAAGATAAGCGCAACTGCGCAGTTCCTTCCTGTTTATCTACATGGCTGCATTTGGGTGAATGGAATCTAACAAAATTTTTTTTTTACTTTGGAATAATCACTGGACGTAGATCAATGAATTTTCTCGAATCAGTTTAGCGCATAAGTGGCACATAAGCCTGCTAAATACATTTATTATAATCTGAGGGTTCTTCAAAATTTCCGAATGAAACGATCGATGAGATAAAAAAGATCAATTAGGAAAGTGGTAAATCATTATTGCTCAGCATGTTCATCTAACCCTTCTGCCACGTTTCAGCCCTCCCGCAAGAAAAGAAACTAAAACGGCAATAATAGCCATTAACACCTTGGTGATAGTAGCTCATAAAGCTATAAAAACAATTTTTTTTGAGAAGGTTGCCTATAGCATCCGCTTCAAATCAGAATTTATCGTGCATTCTTTAGCCGTTTCCAATTTCTTCGTTACCTTAGATGGTCATACACATGTACAAAAATCAAATACTTTATAGGTGCAGATTGAATTTGAGTTAGTTTGAATCCATGTAGGATGATGATTCTAAACTTTCATCATTCCTGCGTATATCTTCTCTTCCAAACCGCATTCATTTTCCCCACGAACCATACGGAAATATCCTCCTATAAAGAATGATTTTTCGGCTACGATCTATAAATGAATGAATTTTGCACCTACCATCTTCACCCCACGTCACACCCCAAGAATTAGCAAGAATCCAGTAATCAGTTCCGTTTTCGCTACCCCAACCTAAGAGCTTGACAGCATGGCTTCCGCTTCTCTCTCCGGCTAAGTGCTGAAATAATCGTAATGAAGCCTTTTCCTTGTCTAGCACAGATATTCTGACTCGATAGATTCCTCCTTTGTATAATTTGAAGTCTGCATAAGTGGTAAAGGCAGCTTGTACTGGACCATTTTTCATTATTTCTTTCCTTATTTCTTTTTCGTCTTTGTCGGGACGGTATGCCGTGAGGCCTGCAAAGCTCTTATTTGAGAGTCAAACAAAATCAGCTACACTGCACTTACCATAATATTTGTCCTCAGGATACTTGATGTTGTAGCCTTGTTGACATATTGTTCGGCACTTTGGAGTTTCGTATTTCGTTGATGGACATTCTCCGTAGTAAGGCTGACCAGTTTTGTTGCCACACGGGTGGAATGAATATGGTTTGCATACGCCCTTCAAAGTATTTTTTGGTAATGAGAGATCACATATGAATCTTCGATGCTGAATTGTAGTATTATAGATGCTGCCAATGAGAGTACAAACAGCTACAGAAAGAATGAATCCAAAGGGGTTTGCGCGTGCTCATCAAGACAAATATTTTTACCCTCTCCCTGTACCGTCCTCCTGTGACAACGCCATGCTCTATCATATATGTCCAGGCTTTGAACGAGTAGCCACCGTTGCACCTAATTATCTTGACTTTTGTATATATCTGTGCAAAAAATCGACTTTTCAGCAAGCTATTTTTATAGAGCTTACCCATGACCGCAAAATTCTCCGCAACAGGCTAGAATATCAGTGTCGGACATATGTACCTGAAATGCAGAAGTGTCTCAAATAACTTGCTTGCGTTATCTCCTCACATTTATGCGCCCATTCGACTGCACACATAGTCGATCGCCCATTGTTTCTGCAGCGGATACTGCCCAGCACGAACCTCAAAAAGTTTTCTAGAATGCCGGTAGAGTAAATCTGAACTTGTTTGAAAGACTACCTACCACACTTTGACTGGTCACGGATATAGGTGATTGATTTGCAGTTCGGCCACTGTTTACGCGCATCGAAGCTAAAATTTGACGGTGAGTGTCATAATATTAGTGCCGGAAAGGCAGCTCCTATAGATAGGATCTGAATCAAGATTTATACTCAATGCGGCGTGACTAACCTCTGGTGGCTGCTGAAAGGCGAATTTTGTGACCTAATTAAGGCCGCTCGCGCCCGCGACGCAGTCTGCGTCTCTCCCGCCCGTCTCTCTGATCACTAACCTAGCCTTAATTAAGTCAAGAAGCCCCGCCTTCCAGCCGCCAAGTCAGTTAAGTCAAACGGTACATGCACGCTGACAAATACTGCAAAAATTGTTGATATTTCAAGCTTCTTTGATTTGCTAAATACGGACTGCTGTTATGGCTCTCTTGTTTTGTAAGCTTTCTTGGGAAAAATACTTAATGGAGGTAGACAAAATCAAAATGTTGCTCAAATATGGAGATAAGAGAATATTCTACAAATCTGCGGACATCGATTCTGTTGTGAATGAAATCAAAAAAACCTAACGATACGGTCAGAATGAAAGAAATTTCGTTCCGTTACCGTTCATTCACTTTTTGAAGTCTGATATTCAAGCGTTTCATGCTCACGAATACTTACAAATCAGGTGGTTCCTCATCAGAATCCACTTTCACTATCGGTGCCTCATCTGGCATGTCTAAGTACTTGAAATCCATCAAATGTTTCATTCCTTCCTCAGCAGCGGGTGTTACCCCAACCTTAAGCTTTTGTTTTTTTATCCTTAGCAAATATATGAGATTTAACCTTGAACAGCATTTGATGGGTCCGAACGTACTCTTCAAGATCAGCACCTCTGAGCTTCTCCGCTTCTTCTAGAAAATGCATTAGACAGCAATTTTTATTTTTCGGTAAAAGAATTTTTTGCTAGTCATGCCATCTATTAGGGTGTCTCATAATTTTTTACCGTTTTACTACAGCCGCCTTTTTTGTATCTTTCCTTTATCTGATGTGGCTTGAATAATCATTTGATAGGGCAAAGCAAGCTCTACAAGGTGGCTATCAAGATTCTGCCCAAGTCGTATTCCACATGAAGTTTTGAGCTGAAATCTGATAGTTGTCGAAAACGAACTTTTCTGTCAAAAAGTGTATCTCTGCCCCAAAGTATCTAAAAATTTCCCCATTTATCCTAACATATGCTTGGTACATCGCTTATTCAGTTGTACACTTTCCAAATTTTTTCCATGGCTAGAAATAAAGAAAAAATGAATGAGGTAAAATGGCAAACTTCGCCCTTAGACGTCCTGTGCTTCTTCCACGCATGTGATCATATGGCTCATACATAAAGTACGATCATGTATTTGTATCCTTTAAAGGTGCCCCAGTTCTCGAGAAATACTGACATTTAGGGTAAAAATGGTAAAAAATACGAGACACTCTAATAAATATATTTTAACTCTGATTAGCGTGGAAATATATGCATCAAACGTGGGAAGTTCTTGGCAATCTTTTCAAAAATAATTTTATTGTTTCTTACCCAATGTGAGAATCTTTTCATCTCTCGTAAGCACAGCTTGAACGAGCAAAAGTATGAGTAACATCCTGAAATAATCGATACATGATAAAGGAAACCAAGGACTTCTTTATGTTTATAGATAGAATAGATTGAATGTGTCGCGTGACTGTTAGAAAAGCAAACATTCTTAACAAGATTAATACTATCTTTTTCTTGATATCTTGACATTTTCTTATCGACGACAGCTTGCTAATGTTACAAAAAGCATGTAGTTACAGCAAAAAAGTAACGAATTCTTATCAGCAATCATAGGAGTGATTTTGCCGAAGGCAGTGTCCACCCAGATTTTCGACTCCCATGTTTTGGTCGTTTCGATGGCTTTTCCTGTCCCTGATTCCGAATATTAAGTCGAGAATGCGCGAAAATCCCCACAATCCCCGTCGCGGAGAACCCGCAGGCTGCTCTCAAACGGTGAGTGGATCAACGCGCGCTGACGGGCGGGCATTACTGGAGGGGGCGGGCTGACTTGAGGTCCTCATATCTTTTCGCTATTTCGAAGGAATTTTCTCGCTTCCGAATCGATATTTTACGCCGCGACTTTGGCGTTGGTTTAATAGGGAGCCCTACTAACGTCTGCCAAGAGCTCAATACCTCTAACTTAGGGTGGAAGGTGCCTTCAAGGTACGATAAATCGTATTTTCATGAGCAACATCTTAGGCTATCAAAACTTGTATACAAAAAACTATCAGGATTTGAAACTTGTCTTAAGTTAAAATTCACACCACCGAGATTGGGTATAAGCGTCATCAGCAAAAAGAAAATTTTGAGCTTTCTCGAACCGTGCAAAAGAAATGTTTCACTCACTCTATCACTCAGAAACGGAGAGGGCGGTGTGGATTCGTGCTCACAAAAATATAATTTCCGCATAACCTTTTTGGCAGAGGAAGTCGAAATGTGAGGAAGTGGAGACGTTAAGACGTCATCGCAATCCGTCGGTAATATTTTGTGCCAAACTTTGTTTCCACTGCCATGATCCATACATATACAGGGTGTCCCAAAAGTAAGTACACACTTTTCAATCGTCAATATCTCTCTTCCCAATGGGTCTTTATTTGCCATTCAAGTACCATTCTGTAGAGGGGGCTTCAACTTAGGTTTATAGTATCGATCGAAACACCGATCGCTCTTCGTTACTGTAGGATTACGGTAAGAACTTCCAGCATGTGACACCATTGTGAAATATGCATCTGAAAATTTCTGCAAAAAATTTGAAAAATTGTCTACTAGGGTTTTCGCGCACGCTGATTTCACCACACAACTTTTACTAGTGTTTTCAACTTTTTTGGCGGTGTAATCACATTTCTGACAAGTACTAGGAATACGGTTATTACGGTTCACCCGGGATAACTTGAGAAAGAAGCATTACAGTAAAGCGGAAATTCCAAATTCGAAATCAGCGGTTCCCACTGCCGTAGTATAGGAATTGTTTGGCTTGTTTGGTTTTGTTCCGAGGCAGAATATGGCCTCCAATGGGCCAAAATTCTTGTCGAAGTTCGTACGGTAATCCTACAGTAACGAAGAATGATCGGTGATTCGCTCGATACTATGAATCTAAGTTGAAGCCTTCTCTACAGAATGGTACTTAAATGGAAGAAAAAGACACAATGGGAAGAGAGATATAACAATTGAAAGGTGTGTACTTAATTTTGGGACACCCTGTATATAGCACAGTGTTTGTAAATGTGTCAGCTAGTGTCTGCTTTATAGAAACTTTTGTGGATTAGCAGAAATCTTTTCAACCTGCTTTCCCATTTTTGTGTAAACAACAACAGTAGATCTCATTTCCATCTCGCGAGTATGCGAGCGAACAGAAGCAGAGCGAAATTCTTTTGCAAAACTAAGAATTCTCTCGATTTGGATGTTGGCTAAGGCAAAACCGAACACGCCTCACTAGTTAATATGGATAGCTATAAGAATGTGCAAGTGACTTGCTTATTCTTGCAGATAATTGAAATAAATTCTAAAATTTTTGAAAATTCAAATTCCTTGTAAAAAGTTCCGGGGCGTTTATAAACCCGCGAAAATTTTGAGAAGCACCCTATGTTGCGGCTCGGTGTGCTCACCTCACCCAGGGCTCGTCCGCCTGACTACACAACTCCCTACTCCAGGACATACCGCTTCGGCGCTAATGTGCACCCTAGCGCGTCTACTCGACGCCGACACCCCCAGACCCGTATGATACAAATATCACGCATTCGACTAGTCCAGATTACATTTATCTATACATACACAAAATAACAAGTTACAAAAAACTGCTAAAACAGCTAAAAACTACCAGAACTCCTAAAACTACTACTTTAGGACCAAAAAGAATAGGCACGGGAAGAGCCGCCTCGTCCCGTGCTGCCGATGCCTGATGGTGATTAACTCCAACAAGTAGTTCCGGGTTCTCCGATGGGTCAACCCGCAAGCCCTTAGCCCTGCCGGGACAGTGTAGCCCCTCTCCACTTCCGCAATCCTTTCCTACTACTCTTCAAACTACAATACTAAGCTGCGCGTCTCCAAACACAAAAAGATTGTCAAACGCTCTACCGCTCGAAATCGTCGATCATCTGCGGGAGCTACTGGAGGCGGAGGGACCGTAGATTCGCCCGCAGGAACGATTACTTTTGGATTGGAGCAGGAATCCTCCGTAGAGCACCTTACTCTTCCAACGCTGAATTTGAGGATGCGCCTGCCAAATAACTCAATGTTGCGTCTTGCAACTCTACTACTGCAATTCTAATCTCCGTATCAAGCTTGTCGAGCCACTTTCTCTGAAAGCGGCGTCCAGGCAAATCTGGACAAATGGGTATCGCCAGCGGAAACTGATTTTGGGAAACCGCGCAGAGTTACAGCATGTGATGAGTTACCCAAGCTCTAAGTTTCCATTACTATCAGCATCAAGTACAAAATTCTTCGTTAATGCGGTTTGAATTTCTACATAAAAGTTTGATTTGCCTTTTCCTCTTCTCTTTAGTAAATATCACTTTTTCGATCTGGACAACGGTCTCCTTTCGGCTTCAGTGAATGCCTTGACTATTGGGGAGTCTGCCTATAAGCGAAATTCTTGCAAAAAAAGGTGGCACTAGGAAACCAATCTGTACCAGCTTCTTAACATCGTAGTTTGTCTCTGATTGTGAATGTTGCGCACTGATCAGCGGTTGATCGTCGTCTTCGTCCAAGATTTGTTCTTTTGTGCTTTTGTCAAAGTCAAATCGCTGTGTTGAGAAAATTTCAGGTACGAAGGTAAGGAGATAAATAAATATTAACCATGTTGACAGCTTATTGTCGAGGTTGTTATTCTTTTTAATGATATGCACATGCCTAGTTTACAGTGCATGAGCATAAATGGTCTTCGATCTTGAGAAGTGGTTTTTTTTAACTCCGTCAAATTTGTACAGCCCTCTTCAAAAGGACATGAAGGCAAGAGAGTTACTAACGATCATACAGTGTGCACATTATTTTGGGACACGCTGTAGATTTTTGTCACCATACATAATGCTGCTTGGACCTGAAAGGCTAATTCAAGTATCAGATGCATAGAGCTTTCCTCAGAAATGTAAGCGAGGAAAAAGACCACTGAACTTCATTTTTCAAAGCTCGCCAAGAATATAAGTTTGCAAAAGAATCTGAAATGCTGATGCTTAGGTTTTACGACTTAGTTTGTCGAAAATATAGCACCATTAACCGAGACCGTTTGCAATAAGAATTGCAAAGTCACCTTCAACAAACTTGAACTATGACTCCAGTTTTCATGTCGGCCCTTGCAGTGTTTCAGATTTACAAGAACATGATAAAATGACAAAAGGAGAATAATTCTACAATAGGCCTGAATGATTCAAGTAAATCTGAAATACTACACAAATCATGGCAGAGCTTGACTGTGAAATGTTCTCTTTTTCGGAGCAATAAAGCGCTGCGATGTATTTTTTATTCCGCATGCTTTAGTGTTTATGCATTGAATTGCGATGCCCTCATAAAATCAATCTTCGTTCCACGTTTATCTGGAAGATAGTTTGATAATAATGCACACTACTTGCACAAATTTGTTGCCAATTCAAATATTCTCGAATAGATTTCTGTTGCCAAGCATAACACTAGAAGAAGTCCGCTCAAATGACAGACGCGGCAAGAGCGTCTGCAAAAGTGTTAGCCGTAATTGAGTACATCCCAGCGCGCTTCATGATATAAGTCAGTGCATATCACGACCAGAGAAAGTGGCTCGACAAGCTTGATACGGAGATTAGAGTTGCAGTAGTAGAGTTGCAAGACGCAACACTGAGTTATTTGGCAGGCGCATCCTCAAATTCAGCGTTGGAAGAGTAAGGTGCTCTACGGAGGATTCCTGCCACAATCCAAAAGTAATCGTTCCTGCGGGCGAATCTACGGTCCCTCCTGGAGGCGCTGCCAGCGGGTTGATATCATTAAAAATCAATAATGAACGAAGCTCGAAGAGGCGTAGACCTCAGCCTGCGCGCCCTAATATACCCTGAGACTTGGCAACGCGCCCAGCAGGAGAGGTCTTGGTGCGAAATTGATAGCGCGCCAAGTAACGCGATAGCTAGCGCTCCCGGCCTCCTGTTTCGAAGAGTGGCTTGCATCGCAAGCCGCGACACCCTAAAAAAATTTTTGGAATATGTGGCTTTAGCCAAGCGCCTTCCATTACAAATCTTGGGACTGCCACTGAAATAAACGTGTATGAGTAGGACGCAATAAAACTCACGGTACTGCGTGGCTCCGTGGTGAGTGGTTCTCGAATCGAAAGAATTAATGGTCAGCTTTCCGGACAAATTCTTGGTTTTCGTATTTGCCATAACCCTTTGAATATATGTGTTGCTTCATCACTCAAAAGTGCACATTCTTATGGTAGGATGCCTTATTTATTCTGTCGCCCACTTCTGCTTCCCACTAACTCGAGGGATACTCGCCCTTTTTATACCGTCGACATCACTCCTAAAACGCACAGTACGGATCTCGGTAAGTGCCTGCAAATGAGGGACCCATACTGCGTATAATCTATCTTAACAACTCATGTAAATTAGGTAGCGGACTTTCGAACGATTATTGCATTGCCAGCTGGGTGGTTACGTAAAGAGTCACGATATAATTCCATTTTTACAATGCATTTTTTGTGTCCAAATCTTGTAAAGTCTTCAGTTTTCAACGTAAACCTACTAATTAACTGCAGTTCTTAGTTTATAACAATTTTCGCCTTGTCCCTTCAGCAGATTTTTGAATACCACAGAATTGCAGTTTATCAATCTTCAGTGTATTTTTGTTCCGTCATTTTTTCACTATTCTACTTTCTTTCCTATGAATCTGCTGAGTTCAGAAATGAGTAGTGATTTTTTGCGAAGATTTCATTTTGATATTTCCAGCGAGTTCTGGATAAATGCTGTAGATTTTTTCATTCCTTCTGAGAAAAGGAACGAAACGAAGATTAGAAAAAGACTCTCGTCATATGAAAAGTGAGTTAAATTTAAGACGAAAGCGAGTATACCTGATCAATGACTTTACATTAAAAAAGTCGTTGTGAACATGAATACGAATGCGTTCATCAAATGTCAGGCTAAGGCCAGGAATATCACAAGCAAGCTCTTACATCACAGCGGTACTCTTCATTGTCCAGTCTGCCTTCAATCCAGTCATGAGTCGATAAAAATTCTGATAATTTGCTCAGAAGTCCTGACATCACATGCAAATATCTTGAATAGCGCTGCATTGAGGCACTCTCACACTGACAAACGTGCACTGCCTGTAAAGTCTCGATCGTAAAGAAAACTTTGACTAATCGCTGAATGACCAGCTTATTGTTTAAAATAGCACTGAAATGACACGTAACAGTAGATAACGACCTTAGCTTGCAAAGAGGCCTCATACAAGCCGATTGCAACTTCTGTGATCCTCCGATCATTACTGTACTAATTCGATATGTGCATTTCCAAGCATGGTGTTATATAGCTCATTTACCGAGGGAGGAAGAAAGCGGACGAGGAGAGTGCAAGCCTATGGGTCCTTTATATTCAACATAGGGTCCGAGTCCTTTATTTTTTATGTTACTAATCAGTGCACGACTTTTTTGTAATTTTTGCTCCTGAAAACGGTACGCGCCGTTCTCTTTTGCTCGCTTCAACTCGGTATCACGGCATACGCATCTGCATCTGTTGCGCATCATAACGGTTGAGATTAGACGTAATATTTCTCAAGTAATAATTAAAGGCACCGTCCACCCAGATTCTCGACTTCCAGGTTTTTGTCGTTTCAGGGCCTTCTCATGTTCTTGATTCCAAATATGAAGTCGAGAATCCGCGAAAACCCCGACAATTCCCATTCCGGGGAGCCTACAGGCCGGCTTTCCAGAACGGTGATTGGATGAGCGCGCACAAATGGGCGGGCATGGATGGGGAGGGGCGGGCATGGATGGAGGTCCTCGTGCATCTTCGCTATTCCGAAGCGATTTCCTCGCTTCCAAAGCGGCATTTTGCGCCGCGACTTGGGCATTGGCTTGATAGGAGGTCCTACTGTTATATGCTGCCAAAAGCTCAACACCCTCAACTTAGGGTGGACGGTGCCTTTAAGGAGTATTTCTGGAGCTGTTGCAACGAACAAATCTTGAACCTTTATTGATCACGCTTATGTTGAATATCTCACGAAATTCAGACATATCTTCGAGTTAGTCTAGTAGAACATTCCTGCAGTTGTGTCATTTTCCATGTTGCATTCATTCACTCCGCGTAGCATGCGGAAGTAGCCCCCTTAAGAAAATGCACTTCAAAAACCATGCCTGCTCATTAAAAATCTTCCTACCGTTCTCTCCCCACTTCTTTCCCCATGAGTTGGCGAGAAGCCAATATTTTTCTCCATTTTCAACACCCCAGCCAAGAAGCTTGACGGCATGTCCTCCCGAAAAACTGCCTGCGGTATGCTGAAAACATTCAACCAAGGTTTATCCTACCCTTATAGTTGTCGCGGCTTGAAGCTATAAAGTTCGTAAAGAGTATTAGCCTGTCGAGAAAATAATGTCACATCACACATTACCGCGACAGAGTCAACATTTGAAGAAGTGAGTGTTGCAGCATTCGTTAAAGCGAAGCAAGTCAGCTCAAAATTTTAGCCAAATTTTTGCACATTTATCCGTCGAGTTTGGCATCTCGCCTATCAGTTAATAGTGATTTGGTGTATCGTAAGCATTTCTAAATTAAGAAATTCAATGACTGCCTCTCGATTTTATGTGATAGGGTTGTGAAAGATAATACACTTATATTTGAGTTAGTATTGTTCTTGCGTTGCAGCCATCTGCAAGTAATAACAATTTGCGCCCTACGGCAAATTTTTAGGCACACTCGCGCAATTCCCAAATATTTCTCAAAAATTTTGGCATAAACTAGCGTGGCATTTTGCGCTATCAATGAATAATTAGAAAAGGTCACTAACAATACAGTTAGATACGTTGAACGACGCAGAATGATTTCAGGCAGCTGTGATGTCACCAAACATTATCGAATTTGACTACTGTTGTATAGTTGTAACGAACAGAAATTTTCGCCGAATGAACGAATATCGAATAATCAATTTTTTAAAATTTTTCGAACGAATGAATATCGAATAATTGGTTTTCGAAAATTTTTCGAACGAATGAATATCGAATATTTGATTTTCGAAAATTCTTCGAATGAACGAATATTATTCGACTTTAGTTTTTCATTTTATTCGAATTTGAACATTCGAATATTGGCACATTCCAAAATTCGAATGAACGAATACTTGAATAACCGAATTCGATCGAATATTTGACTAATTTTGAATGAATGTTCGAATATTATTCGAATTTTTGAATGCAATATTCGAATATTCGAATATTCGAATAATCATCTTTTAAAACTACTCGAATGAACGAATATTCGAATAAACTTTTTTTTTAAAACCCCGCGAATGAACGAATATTCGAATAAGTCATTTTTCGAAATCGTCGAATGAACGAATTATTCGAATATAGGCCTTTTTCATTTATTCGACTATTCGAATAATCGAATAAATGGACTTTCTCAAATATTCGACTATTCGAATATTCGAATAGTCGAATATTTCGAATAAATTATTCGAACACGAATATTCGGTGCTAACTATATACTGTTGACTGCAGCCTTTGCCAGGAAATGTAGGACTGATTTGGCTAGAATCTTTGTAAATTAGGGTTGAATTTTGCAGCGCAGCATACCTTGAATCATCCCAAAAGCTTTTGCTCCGCAACATTCGCAACTCGGGAAGTCGAAGTATTAGTTTGGCACATAAGTTGCAATTTTTTTATAACTTTTGTCTATCTAAACGTAGCGCATTCATTTTCTGGCAATATAAAATTACTAGCTGGCTTACCCGGCTCCGCCGTATCCGGACCAAACTTGGCACACATACACTTCGGGCCCCGGCGGGTGTCACAGTCCACTTTTCGTTATCGATCGATGTCGATTTTACCGATTTTTATCGATTTTTTTGCAGAGTTCACCTACAGGGCTAGGAGTTGGCACAGGGGGGGAAGTGAGCATGGGGATTCCGAATACAACATTAGTTTTCAGGATCGTCCATTACTTTTATCGATTTTATCGATTTTTTTTGTAAAGTTTGACCTGCGGGGCTGGGAGTTTGCACAGGGGGGTAATCGAGCATGCTGATTACGAACACAATATTAGTTTTCAGGATCGTTCATTACTTTTATCGATTTTATCGATTTTTTTTGTAAAGTTTGACCTGCGGGGCTGGGAGTTTGCACAGGGGGTAATCGAGCATGCAGATTACGAACACAATATTAGTTTTCAGGATCGTCCATTACTTTTTCGATTTTATCGATTTTTTGAAAATTTGAGCTAGGGGGCTGGAATTTGGCACAGGAGTGTAATCGAGCATGCTGATCACCCCCCTTGGGGGTGATCAGCATGCTCGATTACCCCCCTGTGCCAACTCCCAGCCCCCTAGCTCAAACTTTGCAAAAAAATCGATAAAATCGATAATAGTAATCGATAATCCCGAAAACCAATATTGTATTCGGAATCTCCATGCACGATTACCCCCCTGTGCCAACTCCCAGCCCCGTAGGTGAACTCAGCAAAAAAATCGATAAAAATCGATAAAATCGATATCGATCGATGACGAAAAGTAGCCTATGACACCCGCCGGGGCCCGTAGTGTATGTGTGCCAAGTTTGGTCCGGATCGGTTCAGAAATGGAATTTTCTATTCGGAACATACGTACACACAGACAGACAGACAGACAGACAGACATACAGACAGACATACAGACAGACAAACAGACATTCAGCTTTATATATAAGATGATGTAAACTGCAAATGCAGATATTTTGCCGAATTTTGCCATCTTATGTAAGAATTACGGTAGCTTTACGGTGTTGGGAATCGGATTGCGTCAGATTTTGCTGAAACTTGGCCTATGGGGTTATTCTACATACTGATCACAAAAATGAGACCGTTTCGCATGAAAACGCCTCTCTCGTAAGGTCAAGGAATAAATTCAATCTGAGCGGCAAATAAATATGATGTTCGTGTTCACCGGGATTACCATATTGTGCAAAGCTTAAGTGAATTCTGCGGTTCTTGGTTACTGACAGATTGCCTTCCAAACTTGACGCATTTGACCTGTTCTACTTCTGAAAGACGCCTTATTTCCCTTGTCTTCGCATTTCACATCTTTTTTACTGATTCTAACGTGTCAACTTCTAGCCACATGTTGCTTATGCTTCCTTTTTGATATGTTTGATTCAAGCTGTGTACGGCTTCATGTTTCCCAAAAAAACGTGAAACTTCGATTTTCAAGGGTTCTCGAAAAATGCTTTAATTTTTTCTACTACGTTATCATGAATGAAACGGTTTGCGCAAGCTTGCGGTTTACTTCACACTCTACATGATATCAGAGAATGAGAATGCCACATTGCGCAAGAAGAAGGTTATGGGAAAGTTTGAAAACTTATATGCCAACCCAATAATAACTTACAATGTGTTCAGACGACAAGAACTGAGACGAAGCAAAATCGAAAAGAAGACTAGTTTAGAGAGCAGAACCAGAGCCCAAAACACTTCTTCATCCTAGACCTAGCGCAAGCGGTAGTTGAAAATAGATCAACTTATGCCAAATTCTGCCTGCTCACTTTGAAGAATGACTAGCTCAAGCAAAATCGCAGAGGGATTGATAAGGTGCGAGTTCGGAGGTGACTGCAATGCACTCATCCTTCCTGTTCATTCTCGAATTCCCAGATTCCCATTCTAGGTGCTCTCTGATGAAAAAAGTAAAGAGAGCGGCTTGTCTCCGAATGTAGGTGTCGTCACATGATGAACAGTGATCAGGTAACGGGAAAGACATGTGCATCGCGATCACCACCAAATTCGCGCCTTGTCAATCCTTCTTTGGTTCTGTATGAGGTCATTCTCTGGCTCACAAAATTGTGGTTGAGGCACAGAAGTAGTCTATTTTTCAGCTACCGCATGTGCGTACGTTAAGGTGTATGAATTTTTTGCTCTGTTTCTGCCCTCTATATTTGTTTTCTTTTCAATTTTGTTTCGCCTTAGTTCTTGAGGTTCGGCGCGAAGTCATTTATGACTTTTTTTAGCTCCGAAGAAGGCGTTAAATGCGCCCGAACGTCGATGTCAACAATTAGGATTAGTCAACATCTTGGTTAAATTCAAAATCTAAATCTATGCCAACAAGTGTTCACGTACCAAGATTCAAGAACAGCCAAACCATGCACTATTGCATTTAATGAGTTTTCTCCTTTTCTAGCCGCTGTGATTACTAATCAACATCTTTCAAAGGTATCAGGAGTTTCCCATTCTATCGCTCATCATTTCTCAATTCTTGAATTTCAAGGTTTACTAAGTTGCACATAACTTTTGCAACTTTGTCAGTAACTTCTTTCTCTCTGCACCAAAAGCATTCAAATTTTGGCATTATGTAGACGTAGAGTTGAATGCGCCCGCTCTGATAAAGCTCGCGCAAATGCATTTGCACCACTCTTCTTCTGAATCGAGAAAACGGCCCAAAAGAGGAGACCGGAACGCCCGGCGACTTGCCCGCCCCTCTAATCGATAGCCAGAGTGCGCATCATAGGTGCGATAGGGGGAGCCGGGCTCTCCCCAGGTGAAGGGGGTCTCGGCTGTTCCCGACCTTCCATGGTGAAGGGGGTATGTGAGTCTAGGGGGGGGGGGGGAGGAAGAGAAAAAATATAAAAAAGCGTGGTATGAAGATCTCCAATTTGTACCTTATTTGGGCACAAATTGAAAAAAAAATTTTAAAAAATTTTCAAAGGAAATTAGAAAATTTTAAAAAATTGACTTTATGAAGATCTGTGCTCTTGTTTCATTGCATCAACAAAAAACGAAAGAATAAGGTTTATCCCAAAAGATGTACAAGTTGGGAACAACTTACAATTTCTGCACATCATTATCAACAATGTCACTATCGCTAACGTCAGAGACAACAAGTTCGCTGCCTGAAAGATCTTCTTCTTCCTCCAAAAGGCCATCGGAGTAGAAGTAGAATTGCGTGAAAAAGCATTCTAAGTCGAAAATCGATTTGAAACGTTCTTCTTCTCTAAGCTTTTGTGATTTTTCCTGGCCCTCTGGTAGCACCAGAAAAGTCAGCAGGTAGGTGACCAGTTTCTTCATACCATCTTTTAGGATATTTCAAGAAGTCATACGGTGACATCCTGTCTGGACCACTTATGGCATTCCTTTGAACGAAGTTTTTAGATAACAATATGTTTAGTAGAAGGTTGACAAACCTCAAGTAATTGCTTAGATGCTCCACAGTTGTGCGACTTCTGCGTTTTCTGATAACAGAGTAGATAGGAAATCCTCTTTTCACCTCTGCCGTGCTAGTCGGAATGGAAACTAGCTTTGCTAGTAAATCCATCAGATTTTT